GGATAGTATGTGAACGATGAAGTGAAATGAAGAAGAAGAAGAACAAGCTTTGTTGTTACTTGGTTGATTTGCAGAGCGTTGGCAAGATATTGAGCACCTTGATCCCGGATTCCATTGCGCTCGAGGTTGAGTGTTGTGAGTGTCTATGTGAGAAGTGTGTAGATGATGAAGTGAAGTGAAGAAGAAGAAGAACAAGTATTATTGTTACTTTATTGATTTTGAGAGCATCGGCAAGATCTTGTGCTCCGATAACACCGATTTCATTGCTTTCGAGCTTGAGTGTGGTGAGTGTCTGTGTAAAAAAAATAAGAATGATGGAGTGATGTGCAGAGGAACACAAAAACGTATTGCTGTTACTTTGTTGATTTGTAGAGCATTAGCAAGATCTTGTACTCCTTTAGTACCGATTTTATTCCAACTAAGGTTGAGTGTGGTAAGTGTCTGTGTGAATGATGAAGTGAAGTGAAGTGAAGAAGAAGATCAAGTATTGTTGATACTTTGTTGGTTTGTAGTGCATTGGCAATATGTTGTGTCCCTTTAGCACCGATTTCATTTTCATCAAGGTCGAGTGTCATGAGTGTCTATATGAAAAGTGTGTGAATGATGAGGTAAAGTGAAGAAGAAGTAGAACAAGTATTATTGTTACTTTGTTGATATTTAGAGCATTGGCAAGATCTCGTGCTCCTTGATCACTGATTTTATTGTTACAAAGGTCCAGGGTGATGATTGTCTGTATGAAAAGCGTGTGAATAATGAGGTGAAATGAAGAAGAAGTAGAACAAGTATTATTGTTACTTTGTTGATTTGTAGAGCATTGGCAAGATCTTGTGCTCCTTGATCACTAATGTCATTGCCACCCAGGATGAGTGTGGTGAGTGTCTGTGTGAAAAATGTGTAGATGATGAAGTGAAGTAAAGGGGAATGAGTATTGTTGTTACTTTATTGATTCGTAGAGCATTAGCAAAATCTTGTGCTCCTTTAGCACCAATGTCATTGTATCTGAGATCGAGTATGGTGAGTACCTAGATGAGAAGTTTGTGAATGATAAAGTGAAGTGAAGAAGAATGATTATTGTTGTTACTTTGTTGCTTTGAAGAGCATTAGCAAGATCTTGTGCTCCTTTAGCACGAACTCGATTCTCTGCGAGTTTGAGGATGGTGAGTGTCTGTGTAAAAAGTGGATGAATAGTGAAGTGAAGTGCTGAAAAACAAGAACAAGTATTGTTGTTACTTTGTTGATTTCTAGAGCATCGGCCAAGCCTCGTGCTCCTTCATCGCGGATTTGATTTTGTCCGAGATCGAGTATGATCAGTGTCTGTACGAAAAGTGTTTCAGTGATGAAGTGAAGTTGAAGAGGAAGAAGAACAAGTATTGTTGTTACTTTGTTGGTTTGTAAAGCATTTGCAAGATGTTGTGCTCCTTTATCATCGATTTCATTGGCTATGAGGTTGAGGGTAGTAAGTGTCTGTGTGAGAAGTGTGTAAATGATGAAGTGAAGTGAAGAGGAGGAAGAACAAGTATTGTTGCTACTTTATTGATTTGTAGAGCATTCGCAAAATCTTCTGCACCACTAATACCGATTTCATTCCATTCGAGATTGAGTATGGTGAGTGTCTGTGTAAAAAGTGTGTGAATGATGAAGTGAAGTGAAGAGGAGGAAGAACAAGTATTGTTGCTACTTTATTGATCTGAAGAGCATTAGCAAGATGTTGTGCTCCTTTAGCACCGATTTTATTATGGTAAAGGTTGAGTGTGGTTAGTGTCTGGGTGAATGATGAAGTGAAGTGAAGAGAAAGCAGGAAAGTATTGTTGTTACTTTGTTGATTTCTAGAGCATCGGCCAAGCCTTCGGCTCCTTTATCGCGAATTTCATTGTGTTCGAGATGGAGTGTGGTGAGTGTCTGTGTGAAAAGTGTGTGATTGATAAAGTGAAGTGAAGAGGAAAAAGAAAAACTATTATTGTTACTTTATTGATTTGAAGAGCATTAGCAAGATCTTGTGCTCCTTTAACACCGATTTGATTGAATCCGAGGTCGAGTTTGATGAGTGTCTATATGAGAAGTGCGTGAATGATGAAGTGAAGTGAAGAGAGAGAAGAACAAGTCTTGTTGTTACTTTGTTGATTCGTAGAGTATTGGCAAGATATTGTGCGCCTTGATCACCGATTCGATTCGAACCGATATCGAGTGTGTTGAGTGTCTAGATGAAAAAGGTCATGTAAAAACTAGATATAAATAAAAAGTGAATGAGACTGACTGTGTTGTGTTGTAACGCGTCAGCCAGAGATTGTGTTTTAATATTTCCGATGCATTCTTTCGAGAGATCTAGCGTATTGGGTGTCTAAATGAATAATGGGAGGTAAAGACATGGTACAAATGAATAGAGTGAATAGCGAATCGATATTGCATGTGGCTAAAGTAGTGAAATAAATGTTGTTCTACCGGGTGTGTTGAGCTTATGAATAAAATTATGAGCTTTTATACGATTTTTTATGCTGAGCAGTGTGCAATCATGTTTTGAGAAAACCTAGACTGAAAAAAAAGTACCAAGGCTGAACTAGGAATACAAAGTTTTTGGCTATGTGTTGCTTTAGTTTCTGAATATTTGAGAAAGAAGGAAAAATATTTCGGTTAATGAAAAGTAGTATGTAAACTATTTCTGGGAAAAAAATTGCGAAGAATAGTATTATGTACCCAAATAGCAATGTATTGCAGTGAATGGTTTAGAGCTTAGTAAAGTATGGTGCAACGCTTTTTAGTATTCTATAGGTATGACGAAAGATAGTTTTTTATCGGTAGTTGGTATACAGTTTTCTTTACGTTCATTAGTCAGACTCGATATGTGTTTTACTTTAAAACTCTGGTTGAGTTATCGAACTTGGTCTTATTGGTGTGTATGATTAATATAAGTGAGAATATATACTGATTTCGATGCAACTATAGGGTTGTGTTGATGGAGCTACATTGATTTATAAAAAGTGAAAAACAACTCAAATAATCTATTCTATAATGTTAGACTCATTGTGAAAAGAAGATAAATGCATGCTAAGACGTCATATAAGAAAACAGCGTTGACGAATTATTTACGAAATTCCGTTCTTGATAAGCTGTGCTTCAAATTAAATTCATTCCGAAACAGCGTTTTTTGGTAAAAAATTTGCTTTAGAAGTAGTATTCCTTAGAGAAATAGTCCATCTTGATAGTATGGATGCGAATGATATGGTTGGATGAGAATATGGATGCTGTTGTGAGTCAGTCTTCTCTCCATCCATATTCACCGTTACCTGTATCCATATTCGCATATGCTCTTAAAGGAGTGTTTATCGAAATTATTTCTCAAGGAAGTATCGAGGAGATTATTCGCAACAAGACAAGCTAGTGTATAGAAGGTTAATTTCTGTTAAAAGCTGATTTTCATGATGGAAATGGTATTTAAAAAAAAAGGTGCTCACATACTGGTAAAATGCAAATAATAAGATTTTATTTCTTTCTTTCTTTCTTATCTAAACACTGTATGTTTATGACATTATACCTTGTTTGAAACGTGGTATATTAAGAAGAAATTGAATAGAAAGAAGAAAAGGAACTGGTTTTCTAAGTATCAGGATACTATTTTTTATATTGTCATAATATAAGAAGTGAATTCTGGGGGAGAGAGGGATAACTGATGAATTATTTTAAGTGACAAATAGTTTATTCACGTATATTTTATTGAAGTCATTCAACTTGCATAAAAAATGTAGGAATGAAAAATAATTTGAGAGGTGATGGATAAAAATTAGGCGATCATGATAGAAAAAAGTTTACTTGATATCGATCATAGCTGTCTACAATGCTGTTGAGCCGTTGACATACGTTTCTCATGGAGCATAGGATTGTAAGATACGACTGATGATCAAGAATTCGGTAGACAAGTTCTACCGGTAATGTAAGGAAATTGGTGACAATTTGATTTGCCATCTTAGATTGTTGATGAAATGCGTGCTGTGCAGGTTTATATGTTAGTTATATATATAGTATTCGCGGTCTTATCATAAAATGAGTGAATATTTGTTTTGTGTCATAGATTTCACATAATGTTGTAATTACTTGTTGAAAGAAAAAAATGAAAAAGAATGATATTAACAAAAAAATGACAAAATCAAGATAATAATTGTAAGCAATGTTTTTGTTAAGATTGTTTTATCGATATAAAATGGTGTATAATAGACATGAATGATGTGCTTTCGGTTATAATCAACAAAAGCTAAATGACTTTCTTTGTTATTTATTTTCATTTAAAATTTATATTGACATTTGATCGTAAAATCAAATATACATATTTTGTAAGATGGTACAGAATTTGTTCTCATGAAATAGAGTCGGACATGGAAGTCGAAGAAAAAATAAGACTGTTAGTTTCATGGTTGACGAATTTTACCATAATTTGATCTGTTGTTAGATGAATTTGTTTGAAAAATTAAAAATGTTTTGCTTCATATATTGAATTTTTTTCAAATACGATTATGCATAGAAATGTTTATTTGTTTTTATTAGGAACAGGAAAATTGTAAATAAAACTGCTACAGCTTTTATTCTATTAGAAATATCAAAATAAATCTTCGCTATAGTATGAAGTTTTCGTCCCGATTAATTTATATAATTTTATATACACTTCTATATTGATCATATACAGAGTAATTTCGTTAAAATCTCTTATCATCAGAAATAAAGAGATCATTCGAAAGAACTTTTCAAGAAAAATTATTTTTTTCAATTAATTGCTTTCAGAATACGCAGTCATCTATGTCAGTGTAGACGTGAAGTGAGAGTAACTCAGTTAAACTGCTTCTAATTATTTGACTTATAGTATGACTATTGATTATATGTACCGTACCCTATTCAACTTATAGTGAACAAGACTAGTTTTAGAAGTCGAATGAAGTCATTCCAACTGGTACTTAGTTAATTACTAAGAATTTGGGATCAATGGCTCGAGTCTCTTTTAGGAACATATAGAAAACAAAAAATGTCAAATATTACATTTTGATTGTTCATAAAAATAGGTTGACATTTAGTGAACAATCTAATCCACCAATTCTTGTTGGTTTTCTTATTCTAAATACAATTAAATTGAATAAATGTATCTATTGTTATTGAAATATTTTTAAACATTCATATTTAATCGACTGTTTTTCTGTCAAAATACGTCTGTCTATCTTGACTTTTATTTAATAAAAGTTCTTGAAAACATTTTCTAATCTGCTTTACGTCAACTGAATTAGTGTAATAAATTTAATGTATGTTGTAAATTTAGTCAATAATGAATTCTAGGTTAATAATTCTTTTTTTAGAAAACTTGTCAAGTAAATAAAATACAATCTATGTTGAAATATTTGTATCAAAAAAAAAAGCTAAATTGTGTAGATTTACATGTATTTCTAAAATAATCAAAATATTTTTCCTGTTATAAGGAAAAAATATATATCAGGCATTTGTTCATATCTACGAAAAAGATATTTAAACATAAATAGATGTATAGTGTTGTATTGATTCGTGTCAGGTAAATCTTTGCGAATAGTGACATTATTATATAAAAATGTGGTTAAAATTGTCCTATTTGTTTCGACAAGATGAGTTATTCATTGTGTCAGTTTGAAAAGTGTTTTGCAAAAGTAATTATCTTTACATCAAGGTAAAATGTTCTTTTTTTTTGTATTTAAATCATGAAGAAAAATCAGGAAGTAGTGACAAAGTTCCTATTATATTTTTTCATCATGTTAAAGTCCTTTTGACCTAGATTTACGTTGTTCATTATTTTATTGATAAAATGTGAATATACATACGAGAAAATTAATCTAGTCTGATAAGATATCTGAGTTCACATTTTTGTCGTCTGTCATATTATCATAATAACATCTGTTAATTAAGTAATGTTCAGAAATTATTGCGTTGTTTATATTAATTCTTTTTATGTGCTGAAATGGTTTTGAAAATTTTTAGAATGCTACATTGTTTTAAGAAAGTTTTTAATTATCAATTTTCAATAGTATGAACTATATAGTAAAGTTCAATTTAAATTTAATAATACAGTAAATAAACATAAAACATTAACTAACACAATTTCTATATTAATAAGCTGAATATTAACTATGAATGATTATTTTTTTTTCTATAATGAATTATATAAATGAAATTAAGACTTTAAAAAATTAAAATTTTTTTTCAACTGTCATACTCAAAATGACGTTTCCTTTTGTCGGATTTGTCAATCTGAATATATATGCGTAGGAAAAACTGTTATATAAATAACAGTAGATAACATCGTGTTTTCTATCACTTCGCATTTGTATTTGTTAACAATAAGACTATACACATAATAAAAACAATGGCAACATCACTTGCTGAAGCTCAACAAGATATGTCTTTATATGGTCTATCAACTTTTCTTGCATTTGGTACAATTGGAAATGTTTTATTGATTTGTATTCTTGTTCAACGTACACATCGAAGAAATTCCTGTTCACTCTATTTACTTTCAGCTACAATTGTTAATTTGATTCTTATTGAATGCATCTTACCAGTAGCTGTTTATTCGGCAAAAAGTGTTGATCCACAAAATGTTTCATTGACTTGGTGTAAAATTCGTAGTTATTTATTTAATGCTTTACTTATGCTTTATCGTTGGTATAAAATGGCTGCTGGTATTGATCGTGCAGCTATGTGTAGTCGCCATGCATGGATACGTTCATTTAGTCAACCTCGTATTGCTTTGCGAACCATTTTAATTATAACAACTATTTGGCTTATCATACCTATTCATTTAGGTGTCTTTTTTCGGATTGAATCAGGTCATTGTGTACCTCAATCCGGTAATTATGCAAAGTTTTTTAGTGTATATTCAATTTTAATTTCTGGATGGTCACCACCAACAGTTATGGCAATATTTGGTGTTATTGCCTATCGAAATTTGAAAAAAGTATGAGAAAATAATTTAATAAATTAATATTTAGTTCTATGAAATACTTTTAGATAAGAACACGAATTCGTCCAACTCATATTGGCGATAATCAACCGGCTGCCATTACAGGAACAATAAATCAGCAACGTGTCGGTAGACGAGATCAACAATTAATAATATTACTTATGTGTGAAGTTCTTCTTTATATTAGCACTAATTTACTTTATTCAATTAATATAACTTATCAAGCAATAACATCAAATGATCAAAAAACTTCTGATCGTCTTCGTATTGAATCATTTATTTCATATTTTTCAACACCATTTCTTATTATAATTAATAATTGTGCACCATTTTATCTTTATTTATGTGTTTCAAGTAAATTTAGACAAGATGTAAAAGATTTATTCCTCTCCTGTTATCATTGTCGTCGTCATGTTACAATCGTACAACACGATTTACGTACAAAAACCCATGCTATTACAATACAACCAATAGTTTCACATTGAATTCATTATGAACTAATATAAAATAAACTTTTAATATTTTTCTTTTATGAATATTTTATCTATATTTGTTTCCACAATAAAATATACAAGCATTCATTATCAAGATTCTATATCATTACTGGTAGTCATACTATATGTGTACTCAGAATGATTTGTCTTACAGTTATAGAATCAGACATTTCTATAACTGGAATGTATATTTTTAGTCAAAATCTTATATTAAAATTTTGCACTTCTTCATTTGTAAAATAAGCCAAGAGAGAGATTATGAAACAAAGTTCAAGTGTACTCGCTTGGAATGTTCATAATGCAACACTATTTTTTCAATCTAACATTTTTATGAAAAAAATATTCATATCGAAAATAACTACTAGTTACAACCTCGTTTAGTTTGATCTGATAGACAATTTCCCTCACTTGATTTTTCTAATAAAAACATAATTGAAAAAGTAGCACTTCTTTGTTCTTCAGAAGCACTATCAACTACCGTGAAGGTTCAAAAAAGCATGGTCATATTTCTTTTTACACATAAACGAATAATAGGGATATTCTAAAAATTTTTTCTCATATCGATTTTTTTTACTGATCATTTTGGTGAAAGACTTTTTGATTTTCAGTGAGTAATGACAATGCTCACTGTACTAAAAAGTAGAGAAAAAGTTTGGCTAATTTTCACGTTATTTCACAACATCTGAAAGATGTTCTATATACCATTCGATGCAGAATTTAATGGGCTACATTTGCATATAAAACACTTCTATTTGTATTGTAGTTAACTAATTATTAATGGTTAGTTAATCGTTAATATAGTTTTGATACTTTTTTAGATTCCAACTAAACCATTCGAAAGAGCATAAAAAACTGGACAAAATTCGATATAAGAGAAAATTTTTAGAATATCCTTATTATTCGTTTATGTGTAAAAACAAAAAAATGACCATGTTTTTTTGAACCCTCTCAGTATCATTGATTTTAGTTTTTATATATATATATACCTCTTGACTTTAAATAAATGTCACGTAAAATTTCGATGCTGGAAAATCAAGGAACACGAGACATACTTAGAAACAACAAAGAAACAAGACAATTTATACTTTTCTTTAAAGATAAAAATAGTTTTCCCTAACTATGCAGATAATTTAAACTTGTTTTTCAATACATTCATGTCTATATGATAAAACACGTTCAATTAGAATAAATCTTTGATTCAAATATAAAAAAAACAAAAACAAATTTTAATTATTTCATTTCAATATTATTCATAAGTAATCGTGAACAATCAAATGTTGACAAATAGAATTTGTTTTTTCTTACTTGTTTGATTTGACTCTCTCTCTCTCGGTAATAAGTACTATCGCTTAAGAAAAAAGAATCATGATAATATACAATTTTTTTCTCTCCTATTCTTTGATACATACACGCATGACGCACACATACAAATAGCAAGACAAGCAAAGTGAAAAAAGAAAAAAAACAAAGAAGTAGAAGAACAACAACAACAACATTCAACAAAACCAAATGAGAAACACTTTTTATTTCTCTTAATTATCTTCGTATTAATCATCAGTCATTGATTGATCATCATGTTTATTTGTTGTTTCTGTTTCATCATAAATAACTGTGCGCGCTGATTTCGGTAAACTTGTACTATTATTAGTATTTGATTGTTCAACATTAGAATTAGTTGTTGTATTAACAATTTCACTTTTTATTTCTGGTGCTGATAAAGTTATTTCATCAGGTAAATCCGCTAATGTATCATCATCATCATCATCATCTAAATCATGATGTTCATTTAATTTTCGTTTTTTATTACTGATATTTTCATCATCATCATCATTTATATTCGTTGAATCATCGAGTAGATCCAATTCACGTTGACAATCTCGTTTAAATTCTTCCAATTCTTTATCAATATCAAGTTGAGTTTCTTGAAATTTTTTTTCTAATACATCATCAATTGGACCTTTTGGTAAATAGAAAATATACGGTTTAGTTTTTGTACGAATAAAATTTCTTAATGGTAAATGATTTTTTTCATAGGTTGCTATACGTTGCATAATTTCAAGTTTAATATTAACTAATTTTAATTGTTGTTGACAAGTTTTTTTATTTGCTAATAATTCTGTTCGTTCATGTTTTTTATCTTCACGTTCTTTTTCTTGTTTTTCTTCTAAACGTTTTTCAATTTCTTGTCGTTTTATTCCAAGTGTTTGTCCATTATAAGCATTAGCTTCGGCTTTAAATTTATTTAATGTACCTAATATAACTCCGAACATACGACGATTACGTCCAGTTGATTCTTGATCACGATTAACAAGCGATATAAGATCATCTTTTGTTTTTATGATTTTATTTGTTGGTACAATAGATGAATGAAGAGATTTTGATGAATCATCAAAATTATTTTCTGGTAAAGATGTATTATTATGTTCATCATAGGATGATGATGATACTCGAGAACGTTTGGCATTTATGGGTGAATCATTTGACGATGGATGATCATTTGTTGAAAATGTTCGTTGGTTATTTGTTGAAGACGTTGTTATACGAAAATGGGGTGGAACATAGGATTGTTTAAGACGTACATCAATATCTTGTATTTTTGACCATAATTCTTGACGAGCTGAACGTAAATCTTCTGAAGATGAATTTGTAGTTGCACTACTCATTATTGATTTTTATTTATATCTATAATAAAAAATTTCAAAAAAATGTGTTTATAAAATGTTGAAATAACCGATGGCTGAATGAATTGATCGGCCATGATGGTTAAACAAGAGAGAACGAAGATTAAATAACCAATGATGAAATAGAAAAGATTTTATTGAAATAAAGATTATTTCTTTCTATTAAAATTTAGTAATACGAATAAATGAAAATGAAAATAATATATAAAAACTAAGAAATAAACAAAAATATAACATGATCGAAAACTTATCAAATAGCGACATCTCTTTCGTATATCAAATTAAGTAATTGATTGTTTTTATTCGTATCGAAGATTGATACTTCTATGTAGGACGCCAATTATACGATATTTTCATTGAAATTCGATGACGTATCAGAAAATATCGATAATATATATATAACTTTGCTAGAATTTAACTTTTAGGTGTCTTATCTTCAATTCAGCTATAGTAGGACAATATCTATGTACGTTCCTGTGCATCATGATTATTCAAATACATGTAACTTCTTGAGTTAACGAGTTTCTTTCGGTTACATTGATAATCAGTTCATATTCAATAACTGATGTCAATAAAACTTTCTGTACAATCAACATGAGATATTCACAACTGAATAACTTATATTTTTCAATTCTGAATAATGAATATTTATGGATTGATACAATTCGATTGAATAAGTAGTAATGTTTGATAATTCACATAGGGTGACATTTATATAAACGATGAAAAGTAAATCCTTATATTCTAATGTAAAACTCTTTTCTCAAACGTATCGTGACAGATCAGGCATTATATCATTTGGATGTGTCAAAAAAAGAAATAAAAACAATAACTACAGATTCGATAGTACTCTAATAACTCATTTATATATATAACCGGTCCATACAATTATTGGTTTCATAGATCACATTTATACTTCTGTATAAATGTCTTTTCTGATAATTATAAAATGAATTTATTCTGTATCGAAAGCAAATCATTTGATTAAATAAAAAACAAAAATCTAAGAATGTTAATATTATAAAAGTTTGATTATCTTCTATTAAGACTAAACACTATTTGAAGTTTTGTTTTTCATGAGATTGCTTATTTTATGATTTATTTTTGTGAAAGACGTCATCTATAATAATTAATATATTATCGAGAAGATTAACTATCACATTATTTTCAAAAATTATATTTAGACACTTCGCGTTTTCCTATTTTTTTTATATGCTCATTCTAGAGGAAGTTAAGTCATTAGTTATATATAAACTTCTTCAATCAACATTATTGAAATATTCTTCAGAAATATGGCAGATTCTATCTATAATCAATTAAGTCGATATACACAACCACCATTAATCATTTTGGGAACTATGGGAGCTATATTCAATCAAATTCTCTTTACTTCTCGAAAATCATTGCGAACAACTTCATGTTCATTCTATTTTCGAGCACTTTCATTGAATGATTTTCTTGTTCTTTATATCTATGTACTTCTTCAATGGCTTGCTGATCAATATGGGTTTGATCCAACAAAGAAGTTTGACTGGTATTGTAAGATGAAAACTTATTTACAAACTGTTCTTTATACTTTATCTCCATATTTTGTTGTTTTGGCTTGTTTTGATCGTTTATGTACGAGTTCAACACATGTTCGATTACGACGAATTGCAACTGTTCGTATTGCATCATTTCTTATTCCTGCTATGACTATATTTATTTTTGCTATTTTTTCTCATATGCCATTCTTTTATATATTGAATTCTTATCCAACAGGATCATATTGTACTCCGGCCTCTGTAGAATACAATAGAGTATTTGCTATACTTGTCGTTATAGCTTTAGGAATTGTACCTCCAATTTTAATGATGATTTTATGTATTACTACACTCATTCTTCTTCGTCGTCAACGTCGTCGAATAATGCCAATAAATCAAGCACGATTACGTCAACGTGATAATCAGTTATTGAAAATGCTACTTCTCTATGTAGTATTTCATGTGATAACTACTATTCCGTTTAGTACAACATTACTGATTGCTGTCTATCAAATATCATCAACATCACCCACAATAATTTTACTATACCGCTTATCAATTCTATTATTTAATACAAATTATTCAACAAGTTTCTATATTTATACACTTAGTACTCCATTTTATCGACAGGAATTATTTTGTTTAATTAAAGACACTGTGAAAAAATTCAATAGAATAATTCGACCCAATTATTATCAACCAAAACTTCATATAACTGTTAATACACAATTGAAAAGATCATAATCGATCGTCTATTTAAAAACACTTTTTAACTATTGACATAAATCATTCATTGTTAATGATACGTATTTTTGATTGTATGATTTATTTGCAATAAATTTTCAATGTCATAATAATAAAATAACTTTCAAAACAATTCGAAATCTTTACATTATTATATACGACATATTGATATCATTGAACAAAGTAGATGAAGGAAAAGAGATTATTCGTAACAAAGTTTTGATGAAGGCATATATCTTATGTAATAAAACAGTTTTGTAAAATAAGTATTCTTTATTAATTTTCTATTGCGATTTAGATAAATTGCTACTCAAAGTCATATTTTCAACAGAAATACAAAGTATTGATGATATAATCGCTTTGAGAAATCTAGGATATAGTAAGAAGATCCCGCAATAATTATTATCTGCTATTAAAATGATATGTATATATTTAGCTGGAATCTAAAAAGCATTATCATAAAAGGTCATACAGCGTAGATTTAATCTCGCCAGGACGTGAATTTGGATGACGTCTTTTATGATTTTGCATGACGATTATTAAGACCGATTAATGGAAAAAATAGGTTAAATATGATTTGTCAGACTTGATTTTCTCTTCGCAAATCCGCATAATGAGTCCGAATAATTTTCCATAACTATCGAAAACAAACCAAACTTGAATTTATTGTCTTATGAGAAACTGTACTTTTTGAATACAAAGTAGAAAACTACGAAAAATTTTAATATTTATCTGTTTCGCTAAAATGTGTTGATCAAATATGGTATTATTGCAGACTCAGACACCATGAAAATTTTATTTTTGTTATGATTTTTTTGGAAGTCATAATAAACACGCTATACTTCTCAAAAATAACAATAATAATTGACATTGGAGATCAGATTAGTCTTTTTTTAGAAAATATATGCGTGCAAAAGTAATTAATGAAAAAATATCAACCATTTGCCAATTTTATAATAATGAGCTTGATATGAACATATATAATATAATAAAAAGATAGACACTATTCTCATATATTGCTCACTATCAATAGAAGTAGGTGCAAAAAAATAAACATGTCGGATGCTGTTTATTTTCAATTTACGCGTTATTCACAACCAATATTAGTTATTTTCGGAACAATTGGTGCTGTGCTTAATCAAGCTCTATTCTATTATCGTAAACCATTACGAATGAGTTCATGCTCATTATATTTTCGTATGCTTTCACTCAATGATCTACTTGTCATCTACATAACTATATTACCCTTATGGCTTGCAAGTCAATTTAATATTAATCCATCAGCAAGTTATGATTGGTATTGTAGATTAAAAACTTATCTAACTGATAGTTTGTACACATTTTCACCATATCTGGTTGTTTTAGCTTGTCTTGATCGTTTATGTACAAGTTCAACAAATAATCGGTTACGAAAAATTGCTACAATTCGAATTGCATCTTATCTTATTCCTTGTACAGCTGCATTCATTTTTGCTGCTTATTCTCACATCTTTATTGGATATAAACGCGGTGTTGTTGCAAATGTTGCATACTGTGCCAGTTTCGATGCTTCTTACAGCAAATTTATAGGTTTATATATATTATTTTTCTTATGCATAATACCTCCTATATTGATGGTGATTTTATGTAGTATTACATTAATATTACTTCGTCGACAAAGACGTCGAATAATGCCAGTTAATCAAGCACGTTTACGACAACGTGATAATCAGTTATTGAAAATGCTTTTTATGTATGTTACATTAAATGTTATATGCAATGTTCCATTTGCTGTTACATATGTGATGCTGACATTTGAACAACCAAAATATGTAGCATTACATGTTAGTCTTTTTCGTTTATTTGGTTTATTAATAAATGTCAATTTTTCAACAAGTTTTTATGTGTATACACTTGGTACTCCATTCTATCGACATGAATTATATAATTTTATCATGGTCATTAAAAATAAAATACAGCAAACAAGTGGTGTGTATGTTCAAAAACGAGAGACACATGGAAGTGTACGTACATGATTGAATAAACTGAACTATATTTAACTTATTATATGTATGTTGTGAAACAAAAAAATTTTATCAATTGTTGTGTGTAATAAAATATCGAAAAATAATGTATTATTATTATTTCTCTAAAAATAGTTCAAGCTGTTGAGGTGCATATAGTTTTAGAGACTTTTGTTATTATCTTAAGAAAACACTCACCTTTGTATGTTGAAGTATAAGTTCAAATGTTTGCATAATGAAAAAAATCAGTATATATTGGTACAATAGCCAGATTTCAGGTGCAAATGATATCGTTTTCTATGTAGTTATATGATATGCGATTTATCTTTAAATATTAATCAGGAAAGTCTTATTATAGTAGAAACATTCTGATAAAAATAGTACTCATCTATTTTTACGTCGTAAATGTTGTATAGCATAAGGACATTTACGTACATAGAACATGTATATCTTTTTGAGATATTTATTAGTTCAATGATAATTTCTATCCTATAACAGATAGTATTCCTTCTCTTGAATCAAAAAAATCCTAATTTCAATGAATATAAGTTAATGATAGATTTAGATTTTTACAGACTAAGTTTTTGTACTTTTCATCGAGAGAATAGTATCATATCCAGTTCTTTTTTTCTTCAAAAAATCATTGAAAAGTCAAAGAATTATTTTCATAGAATGTCTAGTCAATTATTAAGAATAAAATATATATATACAATGCATTGATTGCACCAAATAGTATATTTCTTCCATATGTTAAGTATATGATTTTATATTATAATGAAATGACTATTTTATTAAATTTAGCATGTAAACAATAGTCTATTCAAGTTGTTAAAGTAAATACTTCATCAGATTATTCTTTAAATTTTATTTTGAATATAAACTATTGTATATTAAATAACTTAGAATGAAGTACATGTTTAATTATTAAAATTAAAACTGAATAGATTCTTCGTAAAATAAAGAAAAGAGTAATACATTATTTTTTTGCAAATTAATAGAAAAATTTATTAGATACTTAAAAAAATATTTATGTTTACTGATATTTTAAAATCTAATTGTTTATTCTAGAGCAGCTATTGCGTGCAGAACAATGTGTTTGAAAGTTTATCAAAATAGATCAATTATACTATTTTCTGTGGTAATTAAAATGAAGGTTATTTTATCGAACAATACGTTTACTTCGTCATAAAATTATACTGAAGAACACTTGACTCTATTTTTGTTTAACATACATTTCATAATTAGTGTTGTCAATCAATTCTCTTCGTAGTTCTTTTGACCTTTATAACATTAATAAGTGCAGATTTTCAACAAAGAATTTTTCTATTTTAAAATTTTTAAATATAAATAAATGATAGATCTACGTGCACAGTCACTCATTAATAAAACTTCTAGGCTAAGAATAGTAATATTCAACTAAAATTTAAATTATAAATGAATTAGAAATTTATATGGATGAATAATTTGCAACAATACATACAATTTATATTATATGAATACATAAAGCGTATATTTCCGTTCATTCACAATGTCTTCAAAGATTAAGAAATAATTTTGAAAACTTCGGTTTTAAATCTAATTTAGTCTTAAGACAGATAAATTTTATAACAAAATTCTGACGTCGATAAAGTCAATAACTATTCACGAGATAAATATAAGACGCTGTTCATCCAATCGTGACTAAAATATTTTTTAGTACAGAATGAGTCATACGATAGGCAATATACCTCTAATATGGCTCTCGAAAAACCAATAAGGTTATTTGACTGATTTAATGTCGAATAGGTATACAGTTCGTTAGTAATCATATTTTTACCGAATCTAAAAAATTTATTTCGGTAATTTCATGTCTTAGGTAGGTAGACAATTGATAATTTAAATATTTTCTTATTATAAAATGAATTCTTATAATTTATCACGAATTTTCTTTTTATATTAACATTTGTTAAATTTATGCACAAGGTCATATGTAAGATAGTAAGAAAAGAAAAAAAAAATATTAAGTACGTTTTTACTGTTTGTGAGACAACGTCTAAAAAGTGAAATAGTTTGTGAAGAAACAGAAAAGAAGAAAAAAAAAACGAGAAAAATATTTTGAGGATCATATAGCGTTTTACAGTGCATAGAGAGTGCATTTACCGTCGCAGATAGAGATATATAAAAACAGTGTATTACACTAAAGCAGTATACACTGTATTCAAACATTATATGGAGAAAGATTCGTCTATAACGTCCGACGATGATGATACAGGTCAATCGGTACAATCTCGTCCTCCATGTGCTGTATGTGGTGCACCGTCTATAGGTAAACTATTATTTTTTTCTGTATATATTATAAACTTATACTTTTTATTATTTTATCTTCAGGGAGAAATTTCGATGCAATGACATGTTTATCATGTAAAGGTATCAACTTTTAAATGTTATTCATCTTACTTACTAATATTCAGAGAAAAAGATTAAAAAAAGTGCATTTAATACGAGATTATCCTCATTGACATCGTTTAACTGATAGCGAATAAAATGTATATATAGAATCGGCGTCCTCTACTGGAGGTGTTCTTTTGACCTCTTCTATGTAACAAAAATTTTAGCGTTAAGAAAGAATAATATTAATTTACGCATATATAATTCATCAGTATTTATCTAAATTTATTAATTTCTAGCATTTTTTCGTCGTAATGCCTATAATGAAAATGTAAGTTGAACGATTTCTTTTCGATATAATCAAATTTTTATATATTTTAAGCTTATTTATACATGTCGGATAAGAAATTCATGTCCAATATCATCTATAACAAGAAGACATTGCTCAGCTTGTCGTCTTAAGAAATGTTTTCATCAGGGTATGAAAAAAGAACTTATTCGAAGTTTGAATGCAATCAATAATGCTACATCTACTGCAATAATAAATCGACCACCACCACCACAACAACACCAATCGTTAAGATCGACTACTGTAAAATCATTTAATAATAAAATATTTTTTAACGAGTTTTTTATATTATTTAGATTGGTTCAATACCTCAAACGAATCGATCTGTTTTATCATCTAATGATTGGACTTTATTAACGAATATTCGCGGTGTTTATGAAGAATATTGTATTAATAAATTTATTGAATCCCATGAAATCATTCCACTTATACCACCTATACAACCATATCGATCACGTATTAAATTACAACGTTTACTTGATCTTCGATATAAATACACAATTATTGTTGCTTCATTTATAAAACGTATTCTTCAACTAGATTCATTTCATATATCATCAGAACATCATTATCATTATTTGAAAACCAGTTTTCCATGTTTAACATCTGTAAATGTTAGTGAATTAATGAAATCTAAAGTACTAGAATTTTTACCATGGGAACATGATCAATTAGTAGTACAAGCTGTTCTATCAGACGAGATTATTCTACGTGCAGAAACGATTTTAAATGCATTTCAAACATTTGCACCATATGATCCATTTATTATGAAATTATGGGTTATTATACTTGCATTATCATCTCAAACAATGCCTTTAATTAAAAAAGATCAATATATTGCAAGAGATTTTGATTCTGTGCCAAAAAATCTCTTGACAAGTCAAAATTATTATCTAACACTTCTCTGGAAATATGTGATATATCGTCTGGGTTATAATAATGGTATAAATTTCTTAGTCAGATTTATTCAAAATTTTCTTCGAAGACAAAAACTTGAAGCTGATGTGATTGAAGTAATACAAAATAGAGATGATCATGGTCAACTTATACAATTTATACAGATGAATCTAACAATTTAGTTGTATGTTTATAATACAAGAATAATATTTTTTAATATAAGCTCATTATTATATACTTCGATGTTGTGAATAATCTGTGTAAGAACAAAGAAAAACAAGGTGATATTTTTTGTTTTGATTTCAATACTAATATTGAAAAAGTTTTAACTCGTTTAAGAAAATATAAACAAATAGAAAAATGTAAAACGTATTATTATTTGCACTAATATATTAATCTCACAACAGTTCAATAGGAGATAAAATTTTAAAATAATGATTTTTTTTTGTTTTAATATCTAACTAAGAAACTAATGAAACTGATTTTTGTATTTCTACATATCCTTCGACTGTATGAAACGGTTCGAATTATATGTGCCAATGAAGAATGACTCACCACTTATATTTAAAAGTAACATTCCTTACATTCTATTTCGACTGATTCTGATCTGATAGAATAGATACATGTAATGATAACTGTACATAACGAATATAATTTATGTATTAAATAAATAACTATGATATAAATATTATAAATGAGTATAGAAACAATTTTGGACAATCAAAAAGATAATTTTTTGTATAATATTTAATTATTTGATGGTAACATTGTATCGAAGAAAGAAATATTGTACACTACTAAAAAACGTTTTTTTATTGATAATAATATAGAATTATTCTCTCAACTGTAGGCAGGATCATATAAAAAAAATTGTTTGTGTGTTGGGGTCAAAAAAACACTCACATTAGAAATTAAAATTAGATATAAAAACAAGTTTGATTAACGCTTTTTTAGTGTATCTTGATGCAGAGAAGTTGAATCTAAGGTTTCCTGGTCATGCAACTCAGAGGGGGATTAATGAGAACGAATAGACATTAAATTTTCAAAAAACAATCGGTTTTTGGTTGTATTTCGATGTGGAGAAATCAAATCTGAGTTATGCTGAGCGTATGAGTATGGATGGAGCAGCGGATATCGGTGTGAGACGGTGGTAAAGAAGAGACCAATCCATACTCAAATTCTCATGCAAGAAATAGCATTTTTTTGCTTAACCTTCATTTTCTGAATGCAAAAATCGTGAAATTCTCGAATTTTAGATATTAAAATGGGCTCTTATGCTAGAATCAAGAAAATGTATGTTTTATAGTTAATTTTTTTAACCTTTGCGCTCTTTCATTAAGTTTTGCTTAAGGCTTGTTAAGAATAATGGAAGTCAGAAAACGAAGCATCACCGTAAACGATAAGCGTGTGATATAGCGATCGAGTAGTCGGGAGTGGTGGGTAATAAGAACGCCGGCTGCAAGCTGTACCTAGCATTATACTGAAGTTAATTAAAATCTTTAATGACAATTTTGAGCAAATTTATCGCTGATGCATATTTATGTAGAGAAATTTTCTAAGAAAACAGAATTCAACAAGAAGTGACAAACAAAGATAAAGCCAAATTTAGTCGATGGTCAAGCGAGTCTACGCGACGAGCATTACTTGTCTATTAAATAACACTCATTTAGCTATCAATAACTTGTTTTACTTTTATTTTATACCAAAGCATCTGTACTATTTAAATTGTTTGAAAATTATTTCTAATCACAATAAAATATATTACAATATATAGACTATTCAATAAATCAGAAAATATTAGTCATAGATAGTATTTTATTCAAGAAGAACACAAAACAAAGTATAATAACCATAGATATGAAATCGATCTCTAAAAAGATAAAATTCTTTCGCTAAAGAAAATATTGAACACAGCTTGTCCTTCTAGTTTTTCTATTTATTACATAAATAAATCTTTATTTCAAATTCGTTTCTATTATATATAAAAAGAATAAATTTCGTTTTTCTGCTCATTAGCCTTTAGCCACGTATAAAATATGGCATCAGCTGTCTCTATTCTTTTCTAACATAATTTTATTTCTTAAAAAGCCTTACACTATCTTCTTTTTCTTCAATCATGCTAAGTAAAAACTACTTGAATGTCATATTCATCTATTCCATATATTGTTTTTATTTAACTCAATGTCAAATAACTAATGAGTATAATCAACTATTATCAAATGAACTTGATTATATTGATGTTAAACATGTTCCAACAATAATTCATAATGATAATGTTTATTTACCAATTATTTATAAATGTTCATCATTATCACGACGTCGTATATCATTATCTATTCGTATTGAACGAACATTATATCGATCTAATTTTGCTGTTTTTCGTCGTCATTGGTTTTGTCAAAACACAACACAAATGAAGATTCGTTATATACGTGTACGTTTACATCGTTCACTTGCATATGCTTCCGATAGTCAATCTAATTTTCAATCATTACCAATTGAACAAGGACAACTGCATCTAATAATGTATAATAATGAACAAGAAAATGAAAATGAAATTCTAAGAAAAGTTCTATATAATATAAGATTTTTACCAGTATATAAAAGACCAAGTATTCGTTCATTTCGATGGAATCCTTTAATAAACAAAACAATCGAAAATATTTGTCCGAAAGAACCTGGTAAGATTTTCTTTTATCTATAAAGATAAATAAATATATATTCGTTTATTGAATAGAAATTGTACGAGTTATAAATTATCCATTAGTAATGACGGGTAATGCTTATGGAAAATATTTTACTCTACCACAATATCAACAATATAGTTTACGATTAGAACAACAGATGCGATTAATACGACCGAAGTAAAGTAACGAAATTTTGTATTTTTATTAATACTAAAATCTTTCTATTAGATTTTCAATTATATTTTGGTTATATATTGATGAATATTGCACAAGTGAATACTTTAGAAATTATTGTGGTATTTTACAACATTTAACATTTAATAATACACATTTAACTCCAGAAATATTTCTTAGTCAAGAAGGTTTTTCGTTTTATTATTACAATTTTGATTTTTCGATTATTTTTTAATTGTAGGACGTATAAGAATAAATCTGTATGGATCTTTATATGCTCTAGAAGGAACGGGAGCAGAAACTATTGCATCAGTACCAAGACATGATTGGTGTCGAGTAGCTTTAATTGTTGATGAATATCATGTAGATAGAAATTGAACTAACAATTTCGAATGATATTTATTTCTTTTTATATTTTAGTGGAAAATCTATATAAATTGTGTTCAAACTTGGGATAAACCAATTATAGCTTCACATACGTAATTAAATATTTCTTATGATTTTAAACTATTAAAAACAATTATTTATTTAAGTTCTTCTATATATTATTATTCTAATGATGAATTGGGCACATTTATGGTTGGTGGTAGTGACATAACACATTCATTTCGAGGATTTATTAGTCAAATGGATATATATCGACGAATCGCACTTACTTATGAACAAGTTTGTATTGCATCTATTAATTATTTATATAAAAATCAAATTTATTTTAGTTACCAAAAAAACTCGATATGTCATCAATGCCATTTTTACCATCAATAGTTCCACAATCAAATGAATGTAAATATTATATTCATTTATTCAAACAATGTTATGAACAATTTATTCTATTTAATAAACGTATTCAACAAAAATGTAAGTTCTACGGAATTCTATAATACAATTATTAAATGAATGATGATTACTTAGTTACATGTAATGCTCGACCATTTGTTTTCAATCAATCGAATCAACAATGTTTACTTATTCGAACATGGAAACAAAAATTATCATCTGGTGATATTCGTTATAGAATTTTTCGAGCATTACGACGACAAATCATGAATTCAACAACTGATGTAGCTAATAAACTTTTCGATTTAACAATAAAATTACTAGTAAAAATTTGCTTATATTTTCAATTAAACATATATATTATAGGAAAATGATAATATTGATATATCATGTAATCAAATAATTACTTGGTCAGAACAAGCGATGTGTTATGGTCATTCATCAGCTCATTCTCTTCTTGCTACTTTCTATCAATTTGGTCTTTGTGGTATTAAACGTAATTCAACTCGAGTATGTTTGTATTTTATAAAGTACTTTCAAGTAAATAATCAATAACATATTGTTGAACTTGAGGTTTTATTGATTGATGTTGCTGCTGTTGAGATTGAGTTATATTCTCGAAATTTATTAATCTTTCAATAATATGTTCAAGTAATTGATCTTGTAAAAATTCTCGAAACAAAATAAGATCGATTATAAATGAAACTAATGTAAGAATTCCCATCATATAAATACATATAGCAAATGTTTGTGCTTTATCTACTGATTCTAAACGAAATTTAAATAAACATGAAGATTGATAGGATATTCCATTATCATTAAAACATGATGGTGGAATAGGAATATGTAATTCAGCAAAATCTCCTAATCCCATAAGACCACAACATTGAAGACGTTTATGAACATGATCTAATACTATATCAAATGTAATATTAATTATCTTCGAATTCTTTCCATATTGATACAAATCGTTTGAAGATAATGATGTATTATGAAATGGCTGAGTTGAATAAGTTAAAAGTGCATAATTATAATGAGCCTAAATAAATATGAAAAGAAAATAATTATTGTTCGTTTTATATTTTACTTTAAAAAATAAGGATGCTGGTGCACCGATTTGTCTTTCATCAAAATATATAGCTGATGCAATAAGTAATGAACAAGTATGAATAAGTAAAAGAAGTAAACAATGATTAAAAAGATATATTTTTGATTCGGAATAAACAGCATTTATACCATATATAGATATAAATATAGTTGATATTGAACCACTAATACAAATAGATATAAGAAAATAAAAATCTTTAATAATGATAGATTTTTCTGGTGCATAATTTTGACGATTATTTATTGTTGTTCGTTGTGCAGTAAGAATAGATAAAACAAGTATTGTTATAGCTAGAATTATTGTTAATATACTCATTATATAGAGTAAAAATTTAATTAAATTAAAAATAAAACGATCCATTTATTTTTCTTTGTATTACATTAAATAGGCGCTTGAATTATTATTTTCGGGTGCGTTGTATAATGATCGAATTAGTTTACTTGCACTTGGCCATCGACATTATTATGGTTTCGATGGTTTTCCACTTGATTATGATGCAGCATATGGTTTGTTTATTCAATAAACTTATCAATTTCAATATATTGATATTTTAGTTTATTATCGACAAATGTCTGTTATATCCCGGCATGAATATTACAATCCAAAATCTGGTGAAGTTAGTTTATATGAATTATTTTTCTAAATAAAGAAAAACAAAAGAATAATTTTAGGCAGCAATGGAATTTATTCATCTTACAGATGAGAAACTTATTGAAGAACTTACATTTGATAAAAGTGATTCATTCTATTGGCTTAAACAACAAGCAACACAAGGCGTTGTATCAGCTCAAGTATTTATTAGATAAATATTTTAATGAGTAAAAATAAAACATAAAAAAAATTTTTATTTAGAGTTATTTAGGTGGATTAATGTATAATGGTCGAAATGGTCTAACGCGTAATATTCAAGCTGCTGTAGAATATTTTCGTTTAGGTGCTGCTCAAAATGATGCTGCATCACATTATAGTTATGGATTAGCTCTTCTCAAAGTAAATTGAATTCTTATTTTGTTCGAGTATTTATATAGAAATGTAGGGACAAGGTGTAAAACAAAATATAACTGAAGCTATTATTCAACTTGAAAAAGCTGTTGAGCATGGTTATCTTGGTGCACTAGTTTCTTTAGGTTATCATGCATATGAAATGGAAAAGAATTATACAAAAGCAGTACGATATTGGAAAGATTGTTTTGATCGAATACATGATATTCATTGTGCTTATAATCTCGTTAGTTATTTTTTTGTTGAATATTCTAAATCCTTTTTTTTTAATATTTAGGGTATCATGTGGACAGCTGGTCATTATCCACCACATTATGTTGTAGATCATGTTCAAGCTTGGTATTACTATTCATTTGCTGCATTACATGGGCAAATTGATGCAAAAACTGTTGTAGCATATTATAATGCACGTGGAGGTCATCCTGTTATTATTAGAAATGCTTCACTTTCTGCGATGTAAGTTCAAGTATTTTCCATATATGTATATAATATATTATTTATTTAGCTGGGCACGTAATGTTGCTGAAGAAAGTTCAGGAGTAGGAACAATCGCTCGACGAGCACTTGAAGCTTATCGTGATAGACGATGGTAAAAAAATATGTTATTATAGAAAAATCTATTTATAATACTCTATTCATAGGCAAACATCATTTATATTTTATTTACAAACTGCATTAGCTGGTGTTAAACTTGGATATTTTAATGCTGGTTATTTATGTAAAGATTTTAAAAATGAAAGTTCATACGATTGCATAGAAGAATTCTTAAACAAATATTTATTAATACATGGTGATAATACAAATGTAGATTCTTATGCTTTATCAACTGTTGCTGATTACTATCAATGGAATAAAACAAATCTAACAAAAGTAATACAACTCTATGCTCAATTATATCGAAATGGTGATCCACAAGTAAACACATAATTGATTAAAAGAAATTGATTAGTTTTCAAGATTTGTTTAGGGTTTATATAATTTAGCTCAATTGGAAGAAAACGCGAATTCAAATAATACAATTCCAATGGATATTTGGATAGATATTGGTATTAAATTTGATGAAAAAATCGTATCAAATCGATATCGAAAATTACAAGCTATTTATCAACAGTATGATATTGTTTTTATGCTTCATGCATTCTTACAAACAATTTTTTTCTTTTAGTTGTCGAAAATTAAAAACAGCAAAATCTGATGAATCATATATTCCCTGTACACTTGCTTATATAAAAGTATCGACAATATTTTTTCTTAATGAACAATCTAAGGTAAATATTCATTATCCTATAAATTCTTAAGAATATTTTTTGTTTAGATTGTTATAACCATCACTCTTACAATATTAACAACATATTTATACTTTTATTGAATGTAAAAAAAGAACAAGAATATTTTTTTGTTGTTGTATTGATTTGCCACCGAATATTTAAATAATAAAACTTGATATTATTTATCTATGCAATCTATTAATTTTGTTTTTTATTAGCTAATATTTTTTTTTATGAAAATATATACATGTATCTGACAATTCGAGAGTTATTAGACAAGAAGAAGATTATCAATTTTAAAGTCAATTGATGAAGCTAAACGTCGAATATAATCACTTGAACTTATACAACGATATTTAGGTTCATTTAAATTTATAATTCCACTTTCATTTGAACCACCAACAAGTTCAATTAAACGCATTGATGTTAATAAAGCTAATTGACTATATATTTGACTTGTTAATGGTATTGTATCACCTTGTAAAGAACAATAGATAGCCAAAAGACGATTAAGTGCTACAGGTTTATTCGATGATAATGGTAAATATTCAATTTTTGCTGTATCCAATTGTGTTCGTTTATGCATAATTTTTGCTCGTCGACTTTTTTTACCTTGACTTTGTTTATCATATAACATACGATCATATTTTATTGCATTTTGTGTTGCTAAATAAATCGCAATTAATAAAAATTTAGCTGATAATGGAAGATCACGAGTATTTGTTTTATTATTCATAATTGAAATAGGCGATGCATTTTCAATTGTTTCTTCATCAGCTGTATGTGTATCAAGAAATTTTGGAATACTCATCGAACGTGTATAAACAGAATTAAGTACCTAAATATAAAGATAGATTTATTTTTTGGGCTAAAAATAAAAACAAATTACAAGTAACGCTCGTCTGGAGACTCGCTCAATTCTTTGTCGACCGCGATTACCCTTCAGCCAAACCTTATAAAAAAAACTATCCGCAACAAAATTTCAAAAACTGATATCAGATCCGAAGTCCCTGCATCGCAATACCTCACGAAATGTCTTTCCCAAAAAATCGGTCTTCGATGTTTTTTGACCCTGCGGACACACAAGCAAACAATTTATTTCTGCTGGACTGTTCTCTACGAGAAAAAGAATATCTACCTGCATAAAAAATTCTTTTTGATAAAGCATCCGATAATCATTATTCATTCCATCATCATTAGCTTGTTTTTTTGCATTAATACGTAAATAATCTTTAATACACATTGTTGACATATCTTTCAATTCGACAAGATCATTTGTAACAGCATAGAAAATTTGTAATGCTAATTCAATTATAATTTGTAATTGACTTATAGATGATGGAAGTATATCTTGTTGTTCTAAAGAAACAAAGAAAAATTTTTCGTAGAATGTTTTAATTATTAAAAATCATATTGTTTTACGTGTTAAAATATTTTGTAATATTGCAATAATTTCTGTACGAGTATAAGCTGGTATAAATATAGTTGTAGGTGTTAATACACCTAATTCAGCTTCGATTTGATTCATTTGTGGTAAGAGATAGAATGGTTGATGACCAATTAATACAAGTGAATGATGAAAGTTTCCTAATGTTAATTCATTTAATTTAAATAGAAGATAAAGTAAATGTCCAGTTGTATCATAATTTAATAATAGTTCAATATGATGAAGTACAACAAAATAATATTGTTTAGTTTTCTTTTTTTTAAGATTATTCTCTTGAATAGAATAATCACGTAATACTCGTACAAAATCATTGAAATTTCTCATTGTTGGAACAGATTGATTCGTTAATGATGAAATAAATGTTGAATAGAACATATTTAACGAATAAATTTCTCGACAATCAAACCATAATATTGAATGCTTGTGTACATTAAGTACATGTTTAACTAATGTTGATTTTCCTGTATTATTATTTCCATAGATATATACATGAGATGGATATGGTATGAGTGGATTTGAAGAAAAAAGTTTTTCTAAACATGTCGAAATCGAAGAACGACATGAATAACTATCTGGTAATGACATCTGAAATACAGATTATTTATAAATAAAATTAATTTTTTTATTATTATATTTTCAAAATGAAAAACATAAGCGCGAGAGGGACATAATAATAAAAAAAGAGAGAAATCAATAAATTAACAGTATCAGAAGTTCTAAAAAGAAGAAAAACCGTATCACAACAAATCCAACATCGTTTATTACAGTTGTTAGAAATGACTGAATAGAAAACGATGGGATTTAGTCAATTCCAATTATCGATTATGAGAATTTTGTTTCATTAAATCATCAATCTAAAAATAAAGATGTACAAGAGTTTTTATGATTATTTCTCTCATAATATTATAGTTAATACGAACCTGAGCTCGATAAAGTGTCTTAACATCTGCTAAATCAAGTCGAAGTTCATCAGCTTCTTCTTGTTTTTCCCCGTACATTGTTAAAAGAGCATCATAACGTCTTTCTAATCCCTACAAAATACATATATCAATAGAAAATCTTGTCTTTCTCTTATCAACACAATACTTTAAATTGTTCGTTAAGTACGGGATAATTTACTGTTTGTTGTTGTAATTTTTCATTTTGTGTTGATAGATTGACTAATTCCCTAGCCATTGATTCTCTAGTTCGTTCTAAATCTGAAATTTCACTCTACAAAAAAAAGATAACATATTTAATTCATCGATATTTTCAATAAAAATATACTTGTAATAATGTTATTTCTCCTTCTTTTTCTTTCAATTGTGATTCTAAACTTTCTAATACAGCTATTGCACCTGTATTTCTTAAGGAGTCATATACACTTGGTTTTGGTGTTGAAACAAACTAGGCACAATAAAAAGAAAGTTTCCTTTTATGAACTGTATGTTTGTTTTTACTGCAGAACGTTCAAATGAAAATGTCGAAGGTGTATCATGTCCACCCGATGGATGTCGGCTATGTTGATGTGCAAATGTTTCAAGATTTGAACTCGTACGATGTATGGAATGTGTATCATATTGATTAGACTAAAAGAAAAAGAGAATATATAATTTGTATAAGGAAAATTAAATTTTACTTGTTCTTTTAATGCATCATTAACAATTTGTAATTTTTTTATATCACTTTCATATTTTGTTTTCTCATGTTCGGTATCTAATTCAATTTGTCGCTAAAAAATATATCGTTTATTAAAAAATAAATATGAAAAATATTTTTTTATAAACCTTTTCTTGCATGAGACTATTGATTTGTTGAGTAAATGCTTCTTGCATTGATTCCATTTGACTTTTTTCTCTATAAAAGATAAATAGAATATTTTATTCATGTTTTTTTTATTTATACCTTTGTTTAGCATCTTCAAAATTAGTTAATTTCATTTTAAGAATATCGATTTCAGATGTTAGACGTATTTTATCTTGTCTTAATGTTGATAATTGTGCTTCAGCTAATTTCCATTTAGCATTTGTTTCTAATAATGTTTCATTAGCTACACGTTCATGTTCAACACTTGTGGCATATTGAGATTGCATTTCAGCTAAAGAAAAAAAACTTCTGTTTGATTTTTATTGATTCAATTATGAATAATATACCAAGACGATCAGTTAGTTGTCGTTCGGTTTTTTCAAGAGAATTTATTTGTGAAGTATATGATGTTCGAAGATTGTCGATTTGACGAAGGAGTGGATATGTCGCTTAAAAAAGAATGAACAGAGATAATTATTAAGATTGTAAATATAAATAAAATATACCATTGGAAATATTTTGTGTCAGTTCTTCATTACGTGATTCAGATTCTTGAAGTCGCTAAAATAAATAAAATCGATTGATTTATATTATAAAATCTCATTATTATTATTATATTAAGTAACATAATTTGCTTTAGCAATATCGATTAAGACTTCATGATCCGTTGAAAATATTCAGCCTGTTTATGAGTATTTGATTACATCTTTTAGTTACAAAAAAGATTGTATTATGATTAGAAGAAGCTCAAAAAAAATATCGCGTATATACCTTGTATTAAATGAAATACAAACAATATTATTTAGTAAAGAAAATCATGCTATTTATAATTTTTGAAAAAAACTTCATCGAAAAGAAATATATCAGCAAATATTTCGCTCTTGATTGTACTCCTGAAATTTAAATATATGAATAACTGTAACTCATTTTCTGCGATATATATATAGGTAATGTTCAAAGTTTCTATACCAGGAATACAACGGTGACGGTTAGTTACCGGTAACCGTAGGGACCGGTAACCGTTCCATCTTGAGGGTGTAGGTGTGGGTATTCATTTCATCTATCACCCACACCCTCAAGATGGTTACCGGTCCCTACGGTTACCGTCACCGTTGCATCCCTATTCTATAAAAATCTCGAGCTTACTACAAACTATTTACGATCGAAACTTGAAATCAAAAGCTGAAAAACAGATGATAATTCAAAGATACTGAAGACATACTTGTCGAAGATCATTAACTTCTTGTCTTAAAACTTGTTCTCTTCGATTAAGTTGTATTTCACTACGTTGAATGGAATGTCTTAATTCATCAATAGTCATTTGTAATTTTTCTTGTTCTTGTCGAGAAAGTAAACGTTCTTTATCAAGTGCCATACGAATTTCTTCACGTAATACAATTTCTGCGGATAATGTTGCTTCAACAACTTTACTTTCAGTTGCTGCTTTTGTTTTATTCAATTCAGCTATTTCTCTAAACAAAATTTCGTAGAATTAAAAAGGCAAGAAGAAAAAAAATATTAATTTACTTGTAGGAATTTTCAAGTGCAACTTTGGTACTACGAATTTGTTCTTCAACATCTTCATATAAAGATTTTATTGATATACATTCTTTTTCATAATGTACAGCAGATTTTTCAAGTTTTTTAACGGTTTCTTTAGATAAGAATAATTATTAATTATTTAAATAGAAGATTTCTACTTCATATATATACCTTTTAATTGTTTTTCATTTTCTTCTTTTTCTAATAAATTTTTCTTTGCATCATCTAATTCAGCTGTCAATTTATCAATTCTTGTACTTAAATATATGAAAAATTATTTTAATATTTAAAAAATAAATAATTAATAATATACTTAAGTAATGTTTGATGAGCGTCATTTTCTTTCTCTTTAGCTCGTAATTTTTTTATTATATTTGTATGTTGTAATTGTGTTTTAGATAGTTTTTCACCTTCTTCAAGTAATTGTTGTATTTGTTCTTCTTTATCACGTAATACAGCCATTGCATTACCAGATGATGTTGAACTACACATAAATTAATCGAAATTTTTTTCATAAAACTAAGAAATAATACCTATCAAATAATTGCTTTTGTAATGTATCAAGTTGTTTACGAAGATGATCGCGTTCCTTAATTAAAAATTTGGAATTATAGAAATTGAATATTTAAAATATTACTTGTGAAATATGTTTTTGTTCTTCAATTTTCATCGAAAGATTTTCAATTGTTTGCTGAAATTCATTCGTCAATTGAGTTGTACGTTGTTCTAATTCTGTTAATGATCTATATAAGAGAACGAATAAAGATTAAATCTAATATTATTTTTAATTTACTGTTTTAATGATTGATTTGTTCGATGCAATTCATTCGACTCATTTGTTAATTTTTTAAAATCTCGTTCACGTAATTCAAGACGTTCTTTTAATTCACCTAATTCCTATTATGAACAAAATTTTGAATACATTATTAATCAATATAACAATGACAAACTTTAGCAGTTTCTGACATATGAAATTCTAAATAAAAAAAAACATCAAGTTTATAATAAAAATAATAAATGACGTTTCATACTTTGTTGATTATCATCACCATCGATTTCATCATTTGACTAATAGAATAAAAAAAATATTAGAAATTTATAATTATCTATTCTTACGGGTTCATAATTATTCTGTTCTGTAGCTGCTTCATCAATTAAAGTTGACCATGATGAAGTATCACAATTTAATGTTAAGTTTTTGTCAATATTATCTATCGATATTGGATGATGATGATATGTTAGATTTGATGAATGTGATGGAAAACGAACAACAACCTGAATTTATTTTTATTGATGAATAAAATTTAATAGGAAAATAAAGAAATTCACCTCTCGTACAACTGGTCGTCGAGCATCACGTAATTCTCGACATTTATCAAATGTTTCTGTTGTATTCAGAGTTAAACCACTAGTAACACTTGGAGATGAAATTACTTCAATATCTGATGATGCACAGGATGTTTGTTTACCATCATCCGATGAATCTTTACTGTGCTGAATTGAAAGTAACAAGGATTTTTTCTTATGAAATTTTAATAAATTAAAATACGAACTGTATCATGTCCATTGGAAGATGATAATGTATGAGTTGGTGAATTTGATTGTTCAACTAAAAGATTTTCATCTTCTTCATCTGTTGAAACAGTTGCTAAATGTTGTTCTTTATCATGATCAGTTGTGACTACAGGTGTTGGTGTTAAATCATCATCAGTCAAGGATGATGTTAAAAATTCATTGGGTGGATATGATGATGTATATAATAGAGATGATGAATCGTTATCATTTATATCATGTAATGATTGCTCGATATTGTTTCTAAAAATAAGAAAATAGAATGCTTGTAGCGAATGAGAAGACTCTATTCTACAATGACATCTGTTACTATTTGAAAGAATTTACTTAGAAAATTGATATTATAAATATTAATCTATATAGTATCGAATTCTTTGTCATATGATGGAATATCAGTAGTTTTAAACTGAAAATCATCGTTTAAGAAAATAATATATAAATCTAACTAACTAGATCATTAAAATATCACCATAATTAACTGTTTACATGTAAATACATAGTAACAGGAATTCTTACCATTAAAGAAAAGAAAATAGTCATGTTTTCATATCTCCTCTTCCTAGTTGTATGTCAAACGTTGATTCACATTCCACACGTTTAATTCCTTTCTTTTCGTTTTATGAAATAGTCACTATGTGCTCATTCCTACAGTGTGTGTATCCATTCATCTTTCAAATATCACTTCTCTTGATTTATATATTCTAATTTTTGATAAGAATAATGATTAAAATTAGTTTGAGATAGAAAATTACTATTTTGATAGGTTTTGTTATAGTAATAATTAATAGAAGAGATAATAATATTTTAAATTCGAAATAAAATACATACTCAGAAGTATTATTTTCTCGATTATTCATCCAAGAATCAATAACATCACGTTTATTAGATGAAAACGAAGGAATTATTTGAGATCGATCTTCGGTATCAGATTCTGTATGTATAAATGTATGTTGTTCATCAGTTTTATTCTCCAAAATAGGACCAATAATCGTCGATTCAGACGATGGAATACTTAATGTTGGTCGTAATGAATTAGTACTTTCACTACTAGAACTTTCTGTTATTGTTGACGATTCACCTAATGATGATAATGATTGTGTTTGTTGTTGTTGCGTATCAATAGATTCTGTTATAGATAATGATGGTGTTTGTATATCAATAGATTCTAATACTGTTGGTTTTTCTTCTTCGTTGTTATTCTGCTGTTCACTTGTAATTACATCCGATTGGGATTGAGAAGAAATCTGAATTGTCAAAAAGTGAAATTAATTTTAGATAAAATGCTAAAAAAAAGAATAATTTTTCACCAGTGATGATGCATTATTATTATCACTCCATGCATTCCAACTGGAAAATGATGCAGCATCTTTTTCTGTTTTTTCTTCGTTTTCTATTTTCGGTGTTGGAGGTCTTTGGTTGCCAAGAAATGTCGAAAAAAATTCATCAGTTGTCGTTTGCGTAGTGAGGGCTCCTGTATTACTTGCTAAATAGTATTAGAAAAAAAACCTTCTTCAATCCCATTACGTTAATGTAGTTAATATTACCTATCGGTTGAGATTCTGTACCAGGAGGTCCATCCTTGATATCGAGGACTTTATCTAAATGAATAAAGTTTTTGTAATAAGAAAAGACAACAAAATATAAAAAACATTAGTTTTTTTTCGTACCTATGGTTTTTTGTGCATTTATTAAAGTACTTGTTGCTAATTGTGTTAATTTACTTGTATCGATATTAAACCAACCAGACATAATTATTTTCTAACACCTAAAATTTAATAAACATTATTGTACTTTGAAAAAAAACAGAAGAACAAAGTTAGCATGATATACATATATTATATGTATATATTGGACGCTGACACGATGATATTAACTTTGATGTCTGCCATTGGAATAGATTGGTTGTGCCACGTCAACCAATTGGAAATGACTACTTTATGTAATTCGTTAAAAAAAGAACCACTAACACCTTTTTTATGACTCATATCAGAGACTGACATCGACACACTGCAGTATATTTATTTACTTTGATAAGTTTATTGCGTTACGAGAATGTTCAATAGTAAGAAAAATAATAAACCAACAAAACGAGCTAAAGCAGAAGGAGGAGGATCAGCATTAATGCAACAGGTAAATAAAATTTATTTTATTTGAAATATATTCATGAAATATTATCTTTTGTCTTAGATGGGCTTTCAAATACCTAATTTTGATGATCCAAATTTAGGTGCTCCTGATGATGATGACGATGATGATACATTATTAGATGAATTAAGACAAATGCAACAAGATACTGGCGGTCCTACATCAAAACGAGCTAAAGCTAATCAAAAAAAGCCAAGTTGGTATTTTTTTTATTATCTCACAGAAAACAAAATATCTTGAGAATTATTTATATATCTGATTGATTCTTTTACATTAGTTGTTATGACTTTATATTAAAATATTTTATTGTAAATAGGTGGTTCAACTAAAGATCTTCAATCATTTCATAATGATGTGAATAAACTTCTAAGTGATATTGATCGTCCTATTGATGATGAAGAACTATCCGAAGGTGATGAAGATGAACTTTTGGTAAGTTTTTATATCAATTTTTTTCTCTCTCAGATAATAAGATTTTTCTATATTGAATAGGACGAATTACATGAAATTGCTGGTGATATTGAAACTGAAAATCAGATGGAAGTCGAGGAAACAAAACCAGTATTATCAGCATCAAATGGTAATATATTATCAGTACTCGAAGCACGTCGAGGAATGTATATGAAAGCTGTTGAAACAGCAAAAACTAATGGAGATGCTTCAAAAGCTAGACGACTTGATCGACAACTTAAAGTATACTTTTGAACTATAGAAAGAAAAGGTTTTTATATATCATTCAATATTATTTAGCTCATTCAAGAATTACTTCAATCAGCTCGTACTGGTACACCAATTAATGAAAGTGATATACCACCTGAACTTTTTGTTACTGCACCTTCTTCAACATCCCAACCAGCAGTTGTTGCACAAGAAGTACCTCTTCAAATTTCTGCTTCTTCTTCGTCTTCTCCTTCACTACCACGACAATCTGCAGTATCATTACCAAAAAATGATCAACCAGTTATTTCTCGACGTAAGTAATTATTTATGAATACTATTAAATACATATCAAAATTATGTAGCACCAGCACCAGCATCAACTTCTAATAATTCAGAAGAAGAAATTATGCGACTTAAATCATTAGCTGTACAAGCTAAAACCGAAGGTGATATGGCTAAAGCTAAAGAATATCTAATTCAGATGAAAGTACGTATGTTTCTTTGATATAATATCTGGATTTTATTACATAATATATAGAATTTACAAAATGCAACAACAGCAATTCCTGTAGCTTTACCTCCTACTTCCGCACAAACAGAAATGTCTAGTAATGTACCTGATAATGAAAATGCTACAGCACCATCTATGCCAAGTATATCATATTTTTTTTCCATTGATGTATTACTCATAATTTTATGTTTTAGTAACAGCACCTGAACCAAAAACAGTACTCGAAGCTTTACAACAACGACATGAAGAATTAACCAAACGACATCAAGATGCAGTTAGCAAAGGAGATAATTCCAAAGCCCGACGTATGGATCGACTTGCAAAGGTAAATTTTGGTATTTCAAATTTAAATTCTATTTATTTGTTTTATCTCAGCAATATCAAGAAGCTATTGATGCAACACGAAAAGGTCGTCCATATGATTATAGTGAACTAGCAGAGTTACCTGGCTTTGCACCTATACCTGTTCCCCAATCAAAAGTTCAACAACCCCCACCTACGGCAAATCCTACTGTAGCACCAGTAAAAACGTCACAATCAACTACACAAGTACGATCAACACAACCTCAACCACAGCGAATAAGTCAACCACCCGGTCCTATGTTACAACCAACTTCTACAACTTCTACAAGTGATATATTTTCATTTGTTTTTCTCATTTTAATTATTTATTCTATAGATACACAAAGAGATCAACAAGTACAAGCATATCGTCTTAAACAAGAACAATATCAAAAACTTGCTGTACAAGCTAAACAAAAAGGTATGTTGAACTATTTCGAAATTATAACTATGAATCTCTTTTATCTACAGGTGACCTTGAAACTGCTAAAAAATATCTTCTTGCTAGTAAAGATATTGAGCGAACAATTGCATCTACTGAATCAGATGTACCCATGGAAACAAATGAAGTAATTTAATTTACTTTTCTCATTCATCATTTATATAAAAATTAAATAATCTTTATTTTTTTTAGGTACCTGAAGTACCCAGTAGTGGTTACGAAATGATTCAGGATGATGAATTGACTGAAGATTTAGCACAAGCTGATCGTGATACAATATATCGTCATTTACAAGAAGATCTTTTACGACAAATGCAATTATGTGCACGTAATCAACAAATGTATGCTCAAATGGAAGGACCAAATAATGCAAAACAAGCAAATGATTTTAAAATTCTTGAACAACGTTGTGCACATGATTTAGAACGATTACGACAATGTTTTCAACATGGATTAAAAGCACCTTTATTTCATTATGAAAAACGACATATGAATATTATTCTAGTTAATAATGATTTAACTGATAATGATCTTGAGGTAAAAAGAAAATAGATACTTATTCTTATTAACTTAATTATTTCAGTAACAAAAAAAATTAAGACTATATCGAATGTCACATAATATAAAGAGAAATAACATATGAAATTTTAATAGAAAGTACTCTAAGTAATTGTAAACGTGTTTTGCTTTATTCAAATTGTTGCAATATTTAAAAAAAATGAATTATTTTAATTCTAAACATCTATTATTTAAGGTAAATGTTCTTCGTGGTATAAATTTACATGTTCCATCAGGTTATTCTGCAACAGCTCTTGAAACTTATGTTATTATTGAATTTCCTTATCCACCTGAAACTCCTCAAACAGCTCGAACACGTCATGCAACGGGTACAGCAAATGCTGAATATGCTGATTCGTTACATAAATTTCAAATAAAACGAAATGATAATAAATTTAAACGTTTAATGACTCGAAAAGAATTAAAATTAACAATATTCTATAGAGCTGGTTTTCTTCGATCGGATCGTCAATTAGGTACAGCATCAATAAAATTAGCTGCTTTAGATCAAACATCAACTATACATGAATCAGCTGATGTTTTTGAAAATGATCATAAGAAAAAAGCGGAAGGAAAATTAGAAGTTAAAATACGTATTAAAGAACCATTTGGTCAAGTAAAATCATCAGAATTATCAACACAACGATGGCTTGTTATCGATCGTTTTGAAGATATTGTAATTCTAATCTTTTTATAATTAATTTTTATTTTACATTACAATTTTATTTTAGTCACATACTTCCAAACCATCAACATCTAAGTAAGTTAAATAAAAGTAGCTAAGCTTAAGTTCGTTAACTCTTCTTCTGCTAAATTGTGTTTTTCATTGGAATCAGTATCGTTTTGTCTAAAAGTTTTTTTTTAAAAATCAATCCTCTTTCATATCGTTTGGTCGAACATCCTATTTTTCAGTCCACTTCTCCCAACAACGAATATCGATAAACGAACATCGTCAATTTGTACATGTTTATAAATACAATCAAATAACAACAACAGCAAATTAAATACAATCAAATGCATGGACATATCCACAGCATAAAGAATTAATAATTGTTTAATCTATTTTTTTTTGTTTTACTAAATTCTCTTTCTCTTTCTTTCTCGTAATATTTCACTATGAATATGATGTTCTATTTTTTTGTGTCTTTTTGTTCATATATTTTTTCTACTAACATAAAATGGAATAATTTTGCTCTAAATTCAGATTTCCATCAACAGCATCACCGATTACTGCTATTTCACGTCTTGTTCCTACAGGCGAAGCTTTAGGCTTATTGGCTATAAATTTGGCAGGAAATAATAATAATAATAATAAAAATGATGATATATTAGATAGCAGGTATTTCGTAGGAATTGTTTTTAAAAAACGTTTTTTAGAAGATAGTTTGCTTTTCTTCTTTGATTGATATGCACGAATGCACTGTTTGTTTTATTTTTCACCGTAGTTCAATTAAATTTATGTACGATTATATCTAATTGTTTTATTTTCATATAGAAGATCTAGTGGTGTAGAATTAAAAAATGATAATCGTCGAGAAAGTCAAATACAAACAGGTACTCAAAGTATTCAAGTACTTAAATATGAAGCAGATCTTCTTCACGATCAGGTTTATTTATTTGAATAGTTTTCTTTTATTAAAACTCGATTATTAACTTAGATTGAACAACTTGAAGATCATCTTACACCAGATCAAATCGATAAATTACGCTTAAAACAGCAAGCACTTATTGATCAAAGTGATCAAATTGTTCAAAGTTTACGTGATGGAGGAAAACCAGCTGTGCAAAGTAGACTTGTCTTTTTTTTCTATGTATTTTTTCATTTTATTTTTCATTTTCTAGAACATGTTCAATATCTTGAAGGTTTAATTGAACAATACGATAAAGAATCACAGGAACATCGTCAACGAAATGATATAAAAAAAGCGGATTTATTCTTAAATAAAAAAAATCTTGTTACCAAAGAAGTAACTATTTATTAACCATTTCTCAGTGTAAGATCATTTTGATTATTATTTTTTAGATTGAAACACTTACTGGTCAACCACCACCATCAACTTCAGCAGATACGGAATTTTAAAGCCTTTTCTTCTTTATCTTACTTATTATATTATTCTTTGATTGATTTCGTAAACTACGCATTTATTCTTGTATACATTTTGTCTTTCTTATAAACCAAGCTATCAATTGATACATATATATATAAACTTTACTCTTTCTGTGTGCTTGTAGATAAATCTTTGCATATGGATTTATTAGCATCTCAACTTGAATTAAATTCTTCGAGAAATCTATTTTTATGTTTTTCACAATATTCTGCTTGTCTTACAGCTGGTTGTTTACCTACAAATAGTAAATGGCGTGAAAATCTTCTTAATTTATATGCTCGTATTAGTTTATGTCGTACTATTAATCGATCATTAGATTATTTCGCTTGTCTTTCGAGAATTCGTAAATATGGTCTTGGGCAAAATGTAATTCACTTATCTAAAATTTTATTTTTATTAAGAAGAATTTTTAAAAAAAATTTTAGGATTTAGCTTCTCCTCATCTTACACGTTTATTAACATTGACTAATAGTTTATGTGATCTTATTTATTATCCTGCTGAATGTATCGCATGGCTATGCGAAGCGAATGTATTTGGAGCAAATCGATCATCAAGACCTTTTCGATTACTTTCATTAACTTGTTGGTTATCTAATATAATTGTTTCAATTATCGGGTATTTAGAATTAATTATTTCTCAAAATAGAATAATAATCTCTTATTTTTGAATAGAAATACACTTAAATTGATTAAATATAAAAAATTATTAAGAGCAAAACGAAATAAACATGAACATACTACAGATAAATCAAGGTTAGTATTTCTTTAAGAAAACGAAATCATCAACAATATAACTTTTATTTTTCTATAGTTTAATGACACCTTTATCTGAAATGTATAAATGTATGTTAACACTTGTTAATAATTTTTGTTTTCTTCTTAATTGCATCCATTGGCTCGCAATACCAGGATTTTTATGGTCTGGTAAATTACCGGTATTTATGGTTGGTTTATGTGGTACTTTGGCAACATTATGCAATATTATCAAGATGCTAATATAATGATTTTCTTACTAAAACGAAATTTTTTTTGATGATTGTTTTTTGTAATTGATAGTGATGATTTTTTGTCTTCCGTTGATATTTTGTTCTTATTCTAATCGTTGATATATTTTCAAATAAAACTCAACTGTGATTTTAGAATTAATTCATTTGTAACAACGAAGTTTATAATAAATATTTTGATCGTTATATTATTCTATTATTAAAAATTATAAAAAGAAGTGGAGTGTATAGATTGCAGGTATTCAATCAAGGGGGAACATACTGATCTCCATACTAGAAATCAAAAGGGTGTGGGTGGGTGCCAGATGAATATAGTATCTACACCGACACGGACACCCACCCAACCACATTTACCTACACCCACACCCACAGTTTGCTCCCCCTTGTATTCAATTCATAAATACTTTTGTGTACTTCAATGCGGAATCCATAGAATTATATCTTAGTAATTAAGTCATTTCATTTTTAGATAAAAAAGGACAATTTAAGAAATATTATATTAAAGATATGTCTTATATCATGATGATTTTTTCTTAAACCATCAATTCAACCATATTTTAAACAAAGATAAAACTAATAATTAATGAAAAAGTCTTTGAAAAACGAATATTAAACTCTATCAGACTATATTGTCAATTTCTATACTATTCATTTTCTTTTTTGTTATAACAAAGACTCATAAATCTAGACTAAAAATTCTATATGAAATATATTTCCCTAAAATGAATCTTAGAAGAATAAAAAAAAAGTCAATAAACTACTAATTCTAAAAAGGAAGGCTCTTACAACTTGAAAAGTATATATTTCTCAAATATTTTCAGCTACATTACTTAAATGTAGCATCGGAAAAATTCTACCATTACCGGGTTTGGTAAAAACGTTGGAAACATATTATTACTCTTTATTAGAAAAGTTTGAAATATGAAGTTGTTGTTTTTTTTTTAGTTAAAGAACATCACGAATTAATTATCTATAGAAGTGATGATGTATGAATCGAATTCTCTTCACGTTACTTGAATAGTAAAAACAAAAAAATAATTCAAAAACTATTTTTTATCGTTTGTAAAACAATTATCTCCTAAGAACGTTGAAATTACTCAGCCTCTTTTTTCTAGAAGAAACTATATTTTTCTATATAAATCAAGAGTAAATTTAACTTTCAATACGTTATGATGAAAGATTACTCTTTTGTATTACAAAAATCATTATTGAATATACTTTCTCATTTCTCATTTTTGACATCAAAAAAAAAACTAATAGAAAATCTTAAAAAAATAGTATTGCTCGATAGTAAAATTGCAAGGATATTTTCTTAGAAGTGTTTTATTTTGTCGATTTGTTTTTCTCGCGTTCTCAGATGACATTTTGAAAAAAATAATTAAGTCTTTTTTTTAGAGGCTACTGTGTGTTTTCCAACAAAACAAAAAAAAACGATTTTTGATTAGTTTAGGAATTCGACAATGTAATCTAACAGAATTTAACATATTTTCAAAGACTTTTCCATCACTTATTCATACAGACACATTAAAATTGCGAAAAAAAAATTAACTAGTAGTTCATTGTTATTCTACGTGATATTTTTCTGGAGTATCAATACCAATAGTTGGGATATACCGATGAATGAATATGAGTCGAAGCCGCCTAAGAAAATGATAATTAACAAGAATTAGTCAAGTATTATTTATGAATAACTTACGCCAGCTGCTCGACGTTGCTGAGTCATAATATCGGTTACTTCACGATCTTCAGGTAACATAGACGGTGAACCAAGTGATTGTTGTTGTTGTAGTTTTTGTTGATTATTTGATTTGGCTATTTTGCCTAATTTAACTAAAACATGTACTAAACGTCGAGCAGATATGGGTTCGGCAACTATGAAAAAACAAACATTTTTTTTTGGGTTGAAGAAAAATAAATTAAATTATTCTACCATTGTATTTAAGTTCTTGTGCAGCTGCAAGTAAATCATTTTCTGTTAATGATATACTAAAACGTTGTAAAATAGCAGGTATTGTATTGTATGGTAATCGACCTGATTGATCCATTTGAATAAATATTTCTATTAAGAAAGAAGATAGATTAAATGATAAGATATATTTCGAAGAAGAAAAAAAACAAACCATTTAGCTGACGAATAGTTAGTTTTTCACCGTAGTTATCAAGATTAACTGGCGCTATCGCATCTTTCTATAGGAAAAAGAAATCGAAATTATTGTTTCATATAGAATAAATGATTTTTCTGTATACAGATGGAATATGTTGTTGCTGTTGTTGTTGTTGTTGTTGTGGTGGTGGTGGTTGTGGATATGGTTGTTTTGGAATTTCTATAGTTGGAGCAACAATTTTAGCTGATACATCGACTACATGAGGTCGTTGTGGATGTTGTGGATGTTGTGGATGATGTCGATGATGGTGATGATGATGATGGTGTTGTTCAATAACTGCAGCAGCTGCAGCAGCAGCTTGTTGTTGTTGTGGATGAATATAATTTTGTAGTGGATAACTACCGCGATGACCTGTATCAACACTATGAGCACGATTTTTCGAATTTCGACGAGCGTCTAGATGAGCATTATGATTATTATTCATAACAGGACCTACTGGTCCAGGCTGTGGTGCTACTGCTGCTGCTGGCCATTGAGTAGGCCATTGAGCGGGCATTTGTGGTTGGTATGTAACTGCTTGAGGAGTTTGATAGTGTTGATGAGCTGGATGAAATGTATGAAATGATGGTGGAAGAGCAGCACCACGATGTGCATTGTACATAGTTCGAGATGATGCATGATAATGATGTGCTGTATGCATTGGTTGATTAGTAATATTTCCTGCTGATTTTAATTGTGGTGTTGTCTGATACATAGATTGTCTAAAAAAATATTTGAAAGAAAAATAAATTACAAAATATATATTATAGATCTACTGTTGATAAACAAGAGGATAAGCTGTTCGTTGAGGATAATAATATGGTTGTTGATACATGGGATTTTGTTGAGGTATTATTGATGAAGGCATAAAATAATTTGATTGATATTGTTGTCGTTGAAACATAGGATTGTTATAATAAGGTTGTAGAGCTCGAGAATGAGGCCACATATTTGCAGCAGGATTAGCATTCGGCACATAAGGTACTAGTGCTGTTGGATAATCACGACTGCTTTTTCTTCCTTTATGTTTTATATGTGATCCATTTGAACGACTATCATGAGATCGATCACGAATACTACTAGATTGTTGGTCTGGTTTTGAGTGTGATGATGCTAATGGTTCACGTTCTTTTGATGATATTCGTTGTTGATCAACTTTCGATTGAGTATTATTACTTATCATATGATTAGATGATGTTGCTGTTGTTTGTACTAAATCATTATTTTCTGTTGCTGATGTTGCTGATGTTGCTGGCATAATACGATCTTTCGAATGTGGACGACTACGTGGTTGTTCTACATCTTTTACTTTTTTTACATCTTCTTTCGTTTTATTAACATCATTTGCTAGATCTGGAATAGATTGTTTATTTGATTGAATATCATTTGTTTTTGTGGCATTATTTGATGCATTTTTACTTGATCGTTTTTCAACAAGAATTACACGTTCAACATCAGCTTCATATTTAACTTTTACTTTATATTTTTTTGTTCGATAAAGTTCTAATGCAGCTGGATAATCTTTAAGTAATGTTTCAATTTCTTTTATATTTTTGACACTTCGTGATCCTTCCATTGTATTTAAAACTAACAACAAAAAAAGAACAAATTCATAGAATAAATAATAAAATAAATAATTTACATTGAGCTTTTGTATAAGGTCCACTTTGAACAGCAGTTGCTGTTGTTGTTGCTGTTGTTGTTGTATTAGTTCCATTAGTTGTATTCGATGGTGGAGCAGTATTTATAGGCGTTGTTGGTTTAACAAACGAAGTGACAGGCATCATATCGGATTTATTTTAAAAATATAAACTAAAAAATAACTAAACAAGGTAATTGATTAATTATATCTTTTGATAAAATCTCTATAATCTTAATTAAATTATTGTGTGATCGTTTTTTTTTTAAGTAACTGGTTTTTCTTCATACTATAAGTATATTGTTTTCTTAAAAGAACGATTTATATCTGTTGTACATATTATTCTTGTGTAAAAAATCTATTTCTTTTACAACTTACTGGTTATTATATGCTCGTTCAATGTTTGCCTTGTACACTGATGTTCTATATCCAACTTCTATTGCTTTTCGTCATCATCTTTTCTCTTGTCTATTAGTTTTTTTTTTTTGGTTACGCTTTCATTGAACTTAAAAGAGAAGGAAAGATGTGATGATGATGATAAAAAAGAACAACGTATAGATAATAAAACGAAATAGTCATATAAACGAAAAGGTAAAAAGTAGTAAGTTGTCCGATTGAATCAAAAAACTAGTGTAAATAGTTTTGTATATATATGCATTAGGACGGTCACCGGTTTCGCTCGAATGATTTCGAGTGTAATAAATGTATATAAGAAAAAAAATACGGTATGAAGACTCTTTCTTTTCTTTCCATCATAGACATAGGCAATAAATCGCTTTTTTGTCATAACATACATCGATCAGATATAAATGAGTATATTTCATGTTTATATTTTCAACTAAAAAAAACTTGACAATTAAATATATCATAAGAAAAAAATCAATTTTCATCGTTTATTTTATAAATACAATTGACAACAAAAAAAAAATAAAATAAATTATAGTTAAATGTTTATATATCAATATTTGCAATACGATGTACAAGTTCATCGAAATTGTAACGAATTTTAACTGTTGTTGGTGATGATTCGGTTGTCATCATGCCTGTTATTTCTTCGTAATTTATTAAATCAGGTGTTAAAACCATAACACAATGTGCGAACCAATTATATGGTTTTACAAGTAAACATCCTTCACGTTGTAACTATAATTATAGATTATAAGAAATGAATGAGAAAAAAGAAAAAGAAGTATACTCGATCAACTTACAAGTACAGCTAAACCTTGATCCGATGTAATAACAATTGTACGTTTGTTTTTTTCATGATTTTCAGGTCGACGAGCTAGATCTACTAACATATCATCCGTTGTTCGATATTTTGGTTGAGCACTTGTAACTTTAACTGTATCAATTTGATCTAATTGACGTGTTGAATCAAAAATAAGTTCAATATTTGGTATATGCATTTGTTGATTCCATGCTGCAGCTATTTCTCCTATAGCACGTTCAGTTTTATCACCAGCTCGATTTAAACATAGACGACGAAGTGAATTAACAACAAACATCATATTATTTCCATCAAGATAAACTTGTTCAATATCGCGTGGCCAATCTTCACGTTGATTTATTGTTATATAAGCGTTATGAACATCAGCTAATAATGTACGTTTCTAAAATAATAGTAATATAAATTATATTCTTTTCCATACGTATATATATAATTAAAAATTCTTACTGAGACTCGTTCTTCTCGATGACGAAAACGTCTATCTCGTTCTTCTTGAATTCGAGCTTGTGTTAATTCAATTGATTCATTACATTCATGAAATATTGCTAATATTCTTCTTGGATTACCATGTACACCAGCTGAACGAAGTTTAGCAAGATTTTCATGATCATCCGAATTGAAATCATGTCGTTTTCGACATTTTGATACTGTTTCATTACCATCTTGTGTTGTTAACATTGGTGATGTACTTCGATGTTTACATCGATATTCTTTTCGTCGGAAATGTTTCTCTTTTCGCTCCTGTATAAGTTGTTTAGCAACATCAACATCTCCATTTGATTTTTCCAATAAACGTGCTAAAACTCGTTTATTTTTCATTGAAAGACCTTCAGCTTCAAGCTGAGCAATTTGATTTGCATATTTTGTATCAAGTTCAGCAAATTTCTCCTTTCTTCCTGTACGACGTGAATTTATTTCAATCACCTATTATCATTATTGACATATTCTATTTACTATCTTTATATTTTAAAACACAAAACTTACCTTGTTAATATCACCTTCATGTTTCTCCAATAATCGAAGTACACCTGGACGATCGACATTGATGCCAGACGTAGCTAATTGAGCTAATTGACTTGCATATTTCGTTTTTAATTCATCTCGTTGTTGACGTCGAGATATACTAGTATCTCGATTTTTATGACGACGTCGTCCTTCAACTTTTTGTATAAAATTATTAAATTTTTCAACATCACCATCAAAACGTTCCATTGTTTTCAATAAACGGAGACGTTTAAAGGATTGCATGGATGGATGATCCTGTTGTATTGTTGTTATCGCTGGACCGAAACGTGTTTCAAGTGACTCCCATTTATTACAGCGTGCTTCACGTTGACTGAGACGTGCACAGACCTGATTAAGAAATATACATATATGAGAAACATATTATGCTGAAAAAAAATTTTTTAATTTAGTTTTTTTTTACGCTGATATATGAATATCAAACAACCTCCATTCCCCCGCATGAGAGGTATTAGCGGGCTATATAATATATATTTTATGGTAACAAAAGAAATGTACCTTATCAAAATCTCCACCATGTCGTTGTAAGACACGAGTTAATTTGTTTTCATTGATGTGTGGAAAACGTTCCTTGAGCATGATTAATTCGTTATTATTTTGTTGTTCGGTGGTTGTAGACATGTTTTATTTTGTATTAAGAATAATAGGAATAGACAACAACAGAAAAAAACAACACTTTATATACTCAGTGAATGAGTAATCCTTGTAACTGACGCAATATAGGTGAAATACTATTACTAATATTTCACTGAACCAATCAAATACTTTTGTTGACGTGGCAAACAATATTTACCTTGAACAGCTATCTTATTCAAATACAATGATTAATTTCAGGCGAAAAAATTCTGCACTTAAAAAATCGTTAAGATAAAACGTCAGAATATTCGAGAATAAAACGTATTAAGATTATTTGAAAGATATCTATAAAATCATTTATTATTGCTTCATCAAATTTTATCTAATATGACGAGTTATTTATGTTTTTCTTATTTTTTATCAAGACATTGTATAATAATAACGAAAAAAGAAAGGCGTAATTTATGTTTCAATAACTAGAGACATCATTTTCATAGATGTCATATAAATCAAATCTCATTTATTTTGATAAAAAATTTTGAAAAAATAAAAGAATTTTTAAAAGAAATAACTATTTTATCGTTAATATAATAAAATCATACGTATATTATGTTAAATATTTCGATATTGTTATGTTATGATATTCAATATCACAAAAGTTTGATTTAATTCGAATTGAAAATTTTATTGAGTGTCAAAAAGGAGGTCATTCATTGTTTGAATATGTCCATTTGAATGGCTGCTATTGTTTGTTGATTTTTTAACGAAATGATGGTTTCGCACTTGATCAATCTATATAACAATGTCGTCATCATCGACAGTGATAACACGGAAAACACGTTCAACAAATATTATCGATGGATCAAATATCCACGATGATTTTCATTCTAATCTTCATTCATCAACACAATTCATCAATATTTATAATCAATATTTTCAATCTCAAATCAATCGTTCATTATTAATTCATACACTTTCAAATATATTAATATTAGAAAATCTTGATAAGAATATTTCTTTATTTATTCTTGATTGTTTAATAACAAATTCAGATAATTTATCTGATATACAATTTAAACAAGATATATTACCATTTATTAAACATATATTTATAACTAATCATGAAAATAATACGGAGATATTATTATCAACAATACGATTACTTATTGTACTTGTTGAATATCGATCAAATATTCTCATTTTAACATTAGCCGAATGGTTATCATGTTTATTTAATTTTCTTTCGTTACATTTTTCATCAACAACATGGTGTACATTATTTAGTGATTTAATAAATGATTTACTTTCGAAAATAATTAAACAATTTACACCATTATCAAAAGATATCGTTGATATTCTTGTTCGATCATCATCAATTATTTCAACTGATTTTCTAAATCAATTAAAATTATGGAATAAAAATACAGATGATACACGATTAGCTTTATTTTCTATTAATCTATGGCAATCATTAGCAATTCTACTTAGTCGATTAATAGTACGAGGTCATACAAAAGGAAATGAATTATTAGCTGTTATTGAAGATGCTTTTATTGTTGAAAATTATTCGATTCGTAGTGCTGCATATACGGCATGGTCATTATTTATGTCACATATTCATCAATCGGATGATATTGATCCTCAACAATTGAATAATCGTTTATTAAAACTTTTCTTAACACCATTTCTATCGGATTGTACATCGAAAAGTAAATCAGCATCAATATCAAAATGTCATGCATGGATTACACTTATTTCAATTTATCCAAAAAATATTCATGATATTATTTTACCATTTCTTTCATTTGCATTTGGTAATCATATATCAGCAAAAACACTATCAACAACAACAGCTTGGTGGTCAGAATGTCGTCAAATCGGTGCACAATTTATTCATGATCTACTAATTAAAAATAATCATGGTGAATATATTATTCGAATAGCTGGTGATAATATACTTAATTATTTATTTGATTCAATTGTTGATCAATTATTAGAATATTCAACAAATTTAACTGAAAATGATGAGAAATCTTTATGGTTAATTAGTTGGAATGCTTATCTAAATCATTTAATAAATATATTTAAATTAAATAATTCAATCAATGAAAATCAACGTGTAGCAATAAATACGTGTTTATTAACACGTATAGAACAATTATGGATTGATTCAAGAATTGAAACTCGTTTTCTTTTAAAACTATTCGAAACTTTCGAACAAATTTCATTTCCATTAGCAATTGAAACTGTATTACGTGATTCAAGTGTACGTACAAAAACATTATCAGCCGCACAAATTCATCCATCATCAGGAAATTATAAATCACGTAAGATTTCTTTCGATTTTTTAAGAAAACCAACAAACCAAGGGGTAAACAGCAGAAACTTCATGCCTGAAGTCTCATGGAGTCTTCTGGAATTTCTATAGATGCATTTATTTCACGGGGAGACTAGAGAGAAACAACAGAGCCTTCATGCATGAAGTCTCATGAAGTCTTGGAAGTCTTTTGAAGTCCGCTGTTCCCTCCCTTGAACTATATATATCATTTGTGTATATTTAGAGGACAAATCTTTATCTTATCATACAACATTATCTGATCAATATCTTCATATGATGTTAGAACATGCTATTCGATTTAATGATGAAGATCAAACAAATGAAGAAGCCTATCTTCATGTTATATCTTATTTAATTGATACACTATCAAAAACTTCGGATGAAAATTTTTGTTATCAAACAAGTTCATTATTATTAAAATGTTCGGATGAATTATCTCATCAACCAATAACAATTCCATGTTTATTTTGGCATATATGGTTTCGATGTTCAACAAATTTAATTAATATTCTTAATCGTTCATTAACATTTGAATTAAATAATAAAATTGATAATCAAAAACAAGAAACATCGATTGAATTATTACTTCGTCCATTTGCATTTAATGATATTCAACGTCTTGATTATTCTTATACATTATTATGGATACAATTATTCAAAGCATTATGTCGTTTAGTTTTAATTAATAATGATCAATCAAAAAATCTTTTAATACATTTACTTGTTGAATTACTTCGAAATGAACCAGCATTTGAACAAGCTATTAATGATCAACATAATCAACGTATATTTGGTTTTATTTTAATTATAATCAAAACTTTATTAAAAACATTTTCAGATATTGATTTATCAAGTATATATGATCGTTCAAATAATAATTTTGTTCATTTATTTTCCAATACACAAAAACGTTCATTACCATCATCATCAATTATCTTATGTTTTACACAATTATCAACATTAATGAATCATATTCTACAACGTTTATTATCCAATAATGAAAATAATACACAATATATACTTGTTTGTTATTGTTTATTTAAATCAAATAAAATTTCATCAGCTGAACAAACAAAATTATTTGTATTTACATATATACGTGATTTAATTGTTGATCTATTAAATTTATGTAAAATTTATTCACATTTAGAAATTATATTTAAAAATTTAACACAACTTATACCATTTCTTTATTTATATGAACAATCAATAAATATAAATTTATCATTAGGTTTATCACCTATATCAATTCATAAACAACAAACAGATAATATTATATTAAATAAAATTTTAACAATTATATCATCGGTATTTGAACCGTCGAATAGTTCATCGCTATTACAACTTATATATCCAATATTAATTCTTGCTTTTCAACATCATAAAACAATCATGAGAAATAAAGCGAGAAAATGTTGGAATGAAACATTTGGACGAATGACATTTATTGTCTATCCAAATGAACTTAGGTAATTCTATTTTTGCCCTAAAAAAACATTTATCTAAACTATTGATTGTCTTTTAGATTATGCCTTCGAGATTTAAAAGATAAAGAACATTTGTTATTGCCATGTTTTCTTGCTGATCATGATAATAGTAATACCGCTGGTAGTGGAGCACATCCAGGTAGTACGGATGAAAGTCAATTATCACAGCAGATTGATATTGCTACTCCATTAATCTCAACAGCAATATATAATCAACAAGTATCAAAACCATTTTTACCACCAATGCCACCTAGTCGCTCGATAAATACTGATAAAAATGAACCTGTATTTATTCCGATAATGAATAATATCAATTATAATAATCAATCAAAATCACCTGTTGTTATTGGCAAACGTTTATCGTCGGCAAATTCTTGTTTAACAGAAAAACAAAAGGAAAAATTACGTACACGTCATGTTATACCATTACTTTGTGATGATAATAGTAATACACAATCAAATTCGTATACAATTGATACACCAATTATTGAAAATATGATGCGTAATCATCAATTACGAAATACAGATTATGAAAATAAAGAAATATCAACAAGTTTACCTCTTTTTAAACAATCAATGTCTAATAATGTATCACAAGAAAATAATACAACTATTGAAATATCTTCTAAGGAAGTAGAAGATATTTCGGAAGAATCTTCTACAACAAAGAAATTACGTCGTTCATGTCGTCCATCGACACCAGCAAGAAAAAGTGTAAATAATAATACAAGAAAAAAGCAAAATAATGAATTATCTACAACAACATCGATTGTTCCTGATACACAAAGTGAACAAATAAAACTACATCCAATAAAAAGTATACTTAAACGATTATCACCAACAAAACCTCGACAAGATCATAAACGTCGTGTTGGTTTTCATGATCAAGTTAAAGTTTTAGTATTTGCTTCTCCATCACGTCGTGATTTAATTGCTCAACAGAAAAAGAAAAGTCCAAATAAAGATGAAATGAAATCACCAACAAGAATAATACCAAAAGAAAATCTTCCATTACGAAAACAACCAATGTCAGCTAGACGTTTAAGTGCAATGAATAGTACGGAACAATTCATAATACCACCATCACCAATGACTTCGAATAAAACACGTTCACCGAAATTATTTCATCCAAATGATGCTATCGCTGATTGGACACAAACTCAAGAAATATGTCAGGTAAATAAAAATGAAATGAAATCAATTTGTATAGTTGTTGTTGTTGTTTATTCAACAGTGGAGTGGAGTTTGTTTAGTCAGGTCGGTATATTTTTATTCCAGACTAGATGAACTGCACTCCTCAGTTGATATAATTATTGTATTGTGTATTGACTTGTTACATCAGTCCATTGTCTTTTAGTCACTTTGAATGTATTGAATAGTGACTAGAGATTTTGCACTGTTGAAATTTGTTCATTGTTCATCGTTGTTTGCTTTAGTTGAAAATAGATGAAATCTTTCAAAAGATTTATTGTATTCGTATGTTTTATTTTAGTTACCTATAAATTCTAATAATGAAAATCAATCATCCGAAATAAAAATTCTTGATTCAATTTTTCCAAATTTAATCAATTGTGATAAACCAGTCGATACTCTTATTAATCTATTATATGATGGTTTATGGTATTTATTAAATTTTTCTCTTGAAAATGAATAAAATTCTCTCTTTTTTAGTCCTACAGATGTTATCAATTATTTTCATTCAAATAAAATTAATACTGTCGGTGATGTAGCACGATCTACATCTGTTCAAATTGAAACTTATCCTATTCCATCACCGAAAGTAGTTAATATTGAAAAAGCACTTTCACGCTATGAAGAACATCTGAATAATTCTTCATCTATAAATCATACGCGTCATTCTCTTCTGCCGACAGCTACTACGTTGGAAGAAATAGGACGTACGTATTTTTTCTTTTTTTGATCTAAAATACATATTCAATTATATCGTTGATTTTTAGCAATCCATAATAATACATCTACAAAAGAATTATCTTCGATACCAGTACAAATGGTTATAAATTCACAAGATAAACTCTATGATGTTGACACATTAATTGATAGTCTTGATTATGAAAGATTATATTTAAATGACGAAGTACCATCATCAACTAATCAAATAGATTCTCTACGCATAAAACCTCAACTAAATTTAATAAATGAACAAGAATTTCTTTCGCCACAAAAACGATGTCTTTCACCAATGAATGAAGAAAATCAGAATGATGAAATCTCACCTAAAAAACCAACAATAGTAAATCTAACACTCGGTGATCGCTTACAACAAGCAGCAGATATATATAAAACAGAAGGTATACTTCCATTTAATGATGATTACATTGAATTAGTTCGTCAATTATTTCATAATTCATCATTAACAAATCTTGAACAATTACATTTAAAAACTTTATTTCTTAATCATTGAAAAATTTATTAACTTTTTTTGTTTTGTTTTGTTCTTATCCATCTATTTTTGGTTCCTTCTTGCATATTATATGGTCAGATATTGTTCTATATTTTCTCTTTATTTTTCTGTTTGTGTTCTATGTGTCAGATACATCTATGTTTCTTTCAAATGATGTATTTTCGAAGAGATACTAATTATATAAACTACGTATATTGAATTAATGTATATAACATATATAGATTTGATACAAGATGCAAGTCATATATAATAAAAGAAAAATGACTTGATGAAGTAAACATATGTTTTATAACGATACTAAAGATAAATTGTCTTACAAACAACAGATATATATGTACATTATAAGTATGTAAAAGACAACAAATTAAAACTACTAATTAAGTGTCATCGCCTACTCGAAAACCTCCTACTCATGCATGTATATATATATATATATATGTATGTACATCCCACAACAACTTTTATATCATATTATTTTTTTCATCTATTCAACTTTATAAACCATCAACGTAAGAATCGATTTCTATTGTTTTTCTTTAGGTACATACTGAATTCTATACGTTCATTATCACTTTATAGTAGTAAGTTCATCTGACCCTCGCACTGTTGTGTTACACATTTTGTTCTATTCTCCTTCTCTTTTTACATTTACATATATATATATACACACATGTATATATATATTGCAGCACTATCAGGTCAACTCGCTTCTTTATATATTTGTATATGTGTAGTGATGAAACTACTAACCAAAAAAGGGCATCTCTCGTAATAAACCAAGCCTACTCTCTTTCGATAAATTATGTAATCTTTCTTTTTTTTTTCTTCTTCTCTTTTCTCTTCTTGTTGCACGCTCGACTCATATGATAGATAGTATTATGTAAGATTGAACAGAGTACAGCAGGAAAAAAAAGAGCGAACGAACATAAAGATTACGGCGGAAGGACTTTTTTCTCTCTCTCTCTCTCTCTCTCTTCTTTTGCAGTACACATACGCAACATATTCTTCTCTAAACTATCACGCAATACATAGAGAAAAAAAATGAGAGAAAGAATGTGACTTGAATTGCTTTGTATCACGCGTTGAAGTCTGCTATTCAATCATCATTGCAACAAAAAAAAAACCCGAGAAAAAGTCCGAATACTGGTACCATGTAGTCGATTTAAAAATATAACTGATAGTATACCATCTTCATGGTGATGGTTATAGAACAAAAAAGTATTATGGAAAAAATGGATTTACAAGGTAAAATATTCTAAGTTAATTCTAAGTGAATTGGTTTTAATATAGAAAATTTCTTTTCTATTTTTTAATTTCTGTATATATTTTATGTATAGCTTTCAATAAATTCAATGGCAACAAATCAGGAATATTTTTTCTTAATGTTCATTCTAATGACTTTAAGTTGTATCAATGTTATGGGAAAACCAATGCTTTTAACATGTGATACATATGCAACATCGGCAACATGTGGTAGTGGAACATCATCAACAGAAGGTAATAGTGATTGTGATACATGTTGCAATAGTTTATTAGAACGCATGTTCGATTGTCCACCATGCCGTTATTTTGTTCTTAATAATCGTCAACAAGGTGCAAGCTGTTTTTGTACAGTTTGTTTTAAACAACTACGTCATCGACGTCGTCATCATCAACAACAAAATGAGCAAGATATATACCCCCGTTTTGATGTTTAACTTCTCTCTCTCGTTTTTTTTCTTCTTCTTGTTCGTCTTTTTTTTCTTATTTCTCAGTTTGCTTGTTTTTTTTTCTTTTTTGATTTTTCTGACCTATCTGTTTTTTGTCATTCTTTTATCTTATTGGCGAGGCATTTGTAACAGTGATGTGTAAAAAAAAACATACTAGATCGTAGTTCTATTAAATTGATTATCTTATCGGATTCTTGTCATAATTAAATATCTTTAATTGAAAGTAATGTGTATTTAACAGGAAATCAAACATTATACATACAGATGATTAATGAGTCGAATGAAAAGAATAGATAATAGATTTCTATTTATATATTATTTTTAGTTCAAAGGGTAAGTACGAATACAGTTGCTGTGTCATACTACAAGATATATTCATATGTTCGATAAAAATGCCATTAATTTAATGAACGAGTGTTTTCTTGGTCAATAAAAATAATCATAGTAATGACAAAACTGTCAATAGTTATTAATAATATGATAAGATTTTTTTTCTTTTGTTTATGTTAATATATATGCATGTTCATATATTTAGATGAAGAATGTTATCTATCGTATACAATGAACATTGTCTATGATTGATTGTAAATATAAAAGATTATAGATTTTTTTTCTCGTATTTTTCTCGATGTTTTTGAATTACATATTGAAAATATTTAGAACCATCACGTAATGTACGTTCTTGTGTTTGTAAATCGACATGATATAAACCAAATTTCATATCATAGCCCTAGAATAAAATAATCAAATCAAATAAAAATATTCTTTTCTTTTCTTACTTCTGCCCATTCAAAATTATCAGTTAAACTCCAATAAAAATAACCTCTTACATCACAACCAGCTTCATTAATAGCTCGACTTACTGCATAAAGATATCGTCTTAAAAATAAATGGCGTCGATCGTCAAAACGATCAGCAATACCATTTTCTGTTATATAAATTGGTATACATGGTAATTGATTCTTAATTCGTACACAAGCACGATATAATCCTTCAGGATATAATGCATAGGGCATATCAGTCATAAGAGCACTTCCACTATCATCTTGACGATGTAAAATTTCATAGAATGATGGTTTAAATAAATTAAATCGAACAAGAAAATGTGAATAATAATTTAATCCAATAAAATCATTTGTATATGGTGCACGTGAATTTGTATATGTACGATGGATTGTACCTGGCATTGTCCATTTAAAACAACCTGTACGAAAGAAATCTAATATACAACCATTCATAGCATAATCTAATATATGACTTGTATATATATCTAATGGATTAACTGGATTCCATGGATCAAATTGAAATATATCTTTAACAATCCCAATAGAATGTTGTTCAGGTTGATGAGCAATTTTTTTAATACCATCATAAATATCGACATGAGCTTGTAGAAGATGTTGCATTATAAGTGAAGCTTCGTTCGGTTGAGATTTATGACCAGGTGGAAATATGCCAGTAAAATAACCGCCACTTACGTAAACTTCAGGTTCATTAATTGTACACCAAAGATGACATTCATCTTGAAATTCTTGAAACATATCAATAGAAAAACGAACAAATTTTGATATATTAGATGAATCAAGAAAAGCTGAACGTTGTTCAAACCATAACGGATGAACAAAATGATGAAATGTAATCATTGGTATAATTGATTGTCTATGTAATTCTTTTAGAACATCATGATAATGAGTAAGTATATCTTTATCATATTGTCCTTCAATGGGTTCAATTTTATCCCAAGCTAAAGAAAATCGATAAGCATTACAACCAAGTGTGTGCATCAATTGTATATCTTCTTTATATCGATGATAATGATCGACTGCTAATCCACATTTTTGACCATGTTTAATATGTGTAGGTTCCCATTCAGACCAATTTGAAGCAACAGGACCCTTATCACCTGGTCCTTATTTATAAGAAGCTGATGCTGTACCCCAAAGAAAATTTTCTGGAAAAGATACATTATTTGTATCAATAGCAATTCGTTTATCCTCATTTCCATTATCCCAACACCAATATAATGATGAATGAACATGAGATAAATACCAACGAAAGCAAATTATTATAACAATGATAATAAATAGAACGATAACCAAACCAAGCATTTTTGTTTATTATATTATTTGTTAACTCTTTGATTACTAGCGCCCTCCTTTAGTTACCATTTTTGAACTGGTTACTTAATTGACAAATAGATACGCAAATTCTTTGATGATAGGTGATGACTGAAATCGATCAATAAATTTTTTTTTCTTAAGTTATTATTTTATACATATTTTTTTCAACCATGTCTAACTTCCTCAATCGTTTAAAAAATATCAAAGTAACTATACTTACATTTTATTAAAATTATGTTCAATTTTTTTTATTAGACAGGTATCAATAATTTTAATAATAATGAAGGTGATAATGGATCAATTTGTTCGTTTGATGAAGAAGTTTGTTCTAATTTATATTCCAAAAAGGTCATCGATTCATTTAATTTCATAGGGTTTTCTTTGTCCAATATGTCATCGTAAATTTTTTGATACAACCGGACTTGAAAATCATTATTTACAAGCTCATTCCGAACCACAATCAGCAACAACTTATGAACAAACAACGGTAAATATAGTTGAAATAAAATATTTTTGAAGAATTTCAGTATACTTATAGGATCCTCATCAAGAAGTCGCTATATGGAAAAAACAATTTTGTCAATCAGAAGAAAGTCGAATGCAAAGTAACCATTTTATATAAAAATATTTCAATGTTACAAAATAATATATATTTTATTTATTTAGTAACTAGTGAATTAATGCAACAACGACAACGTGTTGGGGACCTTGAAGAAGAAGTTGAATTGTTACATAAACAATTACGAACAACACAATTGAAAGTTATCGAACAAGTAATAATATATATTTTATTGAAAAAAAAGACGTATTTTTCTTTTCAAGTCACAAGAAATTGGAAATTTGAAAGCATCAAAAGATGGTTATGATGCACAAATAGCTATGTTTACTAATGAACTTCTTAATACACAAGTTAGATATTCAATTCATAAAGTTTCATATATCACATACAAATATTTCTTTCAGGGTGAATTAAAAGAAAAACAAAATCAAGTTAATACTCTTTGCCATGACCTTATACCAAGGTAGGTAAATATTTTCAAAGATTAATAATTATTAAAAAGATTTTTTTCTTAACCAAAACAAATTATCTAGTTTGTAAGTATTATTCATATGCTTTTCGTAATGTAAACTAATAGAGCAGTAACTATAATAGCATGTTTTTGATCATTATTCTAAATTTATAGACCAACGACAGATGATGTTGATGTATTAAAACGTGAATTGATTACTGTTCAACAACATATGAATGAAATGTCTTTAGAAAAAGAACAACAAATTGAACGATTACGTAATGTTCTTTTAGAAATGTATGAGAATTTTTTGAAATAAAAACTTTTTAATAAATAAATTTTGTTTTTCATTATTAGTTCTACATCTACAAAACAATTAGATCAAATAGAGAATATATTTGATCAAGTAAGTTTACAATTTATTGTAACTATTCTTTAAAACAATTTCATATATAGAATGTATTAATTTATGATGAAATATTAAATAATCATACATCTCAAATTGAAACTGATATGAATCAAATAAAACAATTTATTCAATTAACACGTGAACGAAAAGAAAAAATAGTCGCAACTTCCAAATATATGCGTAATTGTTTGAATGATGTTAGTATTATTTTCTACTTCTTTATTTTTGTGCTATCATACTTTGTATAAAATTTATTGGGGAGTATAGATATGACTTGACAGTTTTATTTCAATATCGTATACAGATCACAATACAAGAAAACTCTCAAGTCATATCTCTACTCGGCAATAAATCTTATGGTAAGTATGAAAAGAAAGAGTACGTAGCACTGGCGTATTTTCCTTTTGATAAATCCTGATCTTAATTAATTGGTATAGAGAACAAAAGTCTATCTTTTTCATGAGGTAAATAGACATGATAAAGTAGTTAGATACTTATTTTAAGTATCATATATAAATAATTTTCACATCTTGTTTTTTTATTTTTTTCTAATTTAAAAAAGTCCTTCCTTCCTTCCGTCTTAAGCAAACATTCTATTTTAGAATCACGCAGAAATTGATCAACTAAAACAAAAAAATGCTCAATTACATCTTGACCTTGAACATCGAGTTAGTTGATTTATTTATTAAAAGAAAAAAAACATCTTTTTGTTTTTTCAGAATCAATTAAACGAACAGTTAACTAATGATTTACAAAACGAACAAAAACAAACGGATTCTAATCGAATTCAAATAGAAACATTAAAAAATGAAATTAATGAATTAGAAAATACTTTAGATGAATTAAAACAAGAAAAAAATCAATTATTCTTAACGAAAATGGATGGTGATCAAGATGATGAACGACAAAATCTTGTTCGACAATTAACACAAGAAAAAGTAAAAAAAAAACAGAATAAGTTTTATTTCTTTATTCTCTTATCTAAATTTTTAAGGATCAATTTGAACAACAAGTCAAAGAATTACGAAAACAAATCAAACAAATAAATGAAGAAAAAGATAATATTCAAAAAGAATTTACACAAATAAATAACGAAAAAGTAAAATTCACAGAAAAAGTTTTTCTTTAAATTTAGTTTTATTTTATTAGAATCAATTACAAGAAGAACAAGTTCGATTTAATAATGAAATTAATCTATTGAAACAACAATTAGATGATCTTAATACAGATAAAGTACGCATACGACTTCTATGTAATATCGATATTAATAATATTATATTTTGTAGGAGCAACAAATAAAACAAATCAATCAAGAATATATTACTATTAATACTAAATTAGAAGATGATCTTCGACAAATAAATGAAAATAATAATAATCAAGTAAATTTAATTCGTAGATTTTTCTTTTATTTTTAATTTTTCTTTTAGAAACAAGAAATAGAACGATTAGAAAATGAATTAAAAGAAATAAAATCACAGTTAACAGAACAAACAAATCAATTGAATAAAGAAAAATTCGATTTACAACAATCATTGACTCTACAAGAAGAATCTTCCAATGAAATTAAATTACAATTCGATACAATACAAAAAGAAAAAGATAATATAGACAAACAATTAGAAACGAATCAACAAACTATTGAAGAATTACAACGAACAATGTCTGAATTACGAATAGGACTAAATCAAAAAGTAAATAACAAACAATCAATTTCATTTGTTTACTATTCATCATTTTTATTAATAGACTACTTCCATTAATCGATTAAATGTCGGTATTCGTCATAGTATTGATCTTGCACATAAAACTCATCAGTATATTCAACAAAACATACATCTCAATCAGATAAATTTATTATCCATTATTGAACAGGTAAACAGAAATTGCGGGTGTAGGTGTATATTTTGTATTTTGATATAATTGTTAGACTTCTTGAGTCGTATTAATAATACACGATGATTTTATTTGTTATTGTTTTAGTCTCAAGAAGAATCTCAAGCAATTCGTACACAAACATTAGAAGATATTCGTAATGAATTTACTGATTATTTAACAGTTATTCATACTGTTATTGTTGATAATAAGGTAAGAACTATTTCTTTTCCTATAAATATATTTAATTTATGCTCTTTTTCTTTTTTTGTTAGACTAAACTCGAAAAACAAATTAATGAAGATAATATGAAATTAATTGAAGAACAGCAACATGCTGAAAAACAACTGAATAAATTACAGAAAGAACATGATCAATTAATTCAAGAATATAATGAACAGAAAAAAAATCTAGAAATACAATTAGGTGAACTTAATAACAATTTATTACAGGTAAATAGAATAAAGTATATTTGAATTAATTTTTAACGAAGACTTATTTTGATTTTTCTAAACAATAATTCTTCAATTACTTTCTTATTTCTAGGTGTCAGAATCATTATCTGAATCGACGCAAACAGCAAATCTTCAACGAGAAAAATCTGAAAAACAAATTGTAAATAAATTTCATCACTATTTATCTTTTTCAATATGTCTTATCATTAAGGCTTCTCTTGAACATGAATTAACCAGTACTCGATCTGATCTTGAATCTCAAATAAAAAAATATGAAATGCAAACAACAGCATTAAGAGAAAATTTAGCTACTGTACGAGGTGAACTTAAAACAGCACAGGAAAAATTAGTAAATTTTGAAAAAATTAAATTGGATAAAGAAGGTTTGTTTTTTATTTTTTTTTGTTGCCTTTTTCTAATTATTCTTATTTTCATTAGATCTTGAAGCACGTTTAATAGCAAATCAAGATGAACGTCATGCACTATTAGAACGATCAATAACTAGTGAAAATCGAAGTGAAAAACTTCTATTAGAAAATGGACAATTAGCGAAAAAAAATTCAGATCTAGAATCTGCTTTACAAGAAATAGCACGAGAATATCAAGGACTACAAGTAAAAATAAAATTCTTTTTGTTTAATTAAGTTATAATTCGTATATTGAATTAGATTTACACAAATAAATTAAATCAACGTCGATGGTTAAATGATAATGATGTACATGAATGTATGAAATGTAATCAAACATTTACTATAACACAACGTAAACATCATTGTCGAAGTTGTGGAAATATTTTTTGTGATCCATGTTCATCTAAATTAGCTGTTGTTGCAGCAACATCAAAAAAACCTCAACGTGTTTGTGATCAATGTTTTAAAGAATTAACTTCTTAACATATATTTCTCATTTTATGGATCTAGTTTTAAATATATACATATACATATATATATATACAAAGAGAGAGAGAGAGAGTGTGTGTTATTTTAGTTTTTTATTAGCATACCGTTCTCTTTGCAATAAAAAATACAGTGAATTCGATAAATAAACTATTTATCTTTAGTTATGAATTGAAAATAAGATTGGCATTAATTTACAATTGATTGAGAATGATTAGTGCCGTCGACTGGAGGTTGTGGGGGTGGATGTCTCTTCTGCACGGTTTTCTCGCCCACATCCACCGAAACACACACCCACACCCTCAACTAATTTCAAAGCTTAAATTCAGGTAAGACATAAGCCTGGCGAGCGTATAGGGTTCGTCGCCTATGATTCAAATGGTATTCATATTTCAAAAAATATAACATTTCATATACTGTATAAATCTATACTATTCGTGTGCATTTCTATGATATTTTTATTCTACTAAATGCTAATAATAATCAATCACTAGGCATAATTTTAAAAAGTATAATGAAGTTAATAAAATGTTAGTAAAAAATCAAATATGTTGTTTAAATAATTGTTTATTATTTAGTCTTTAATATGAAATATTTAATCAGTTTTCAATTGCGGTAAGACGTAAACCACCGATTTGTTTCAAACTGCTATCTTTATATTGTATCAGTTCGTAGGTTACCATACCAACCTCGAACTTGCTTAGACCTTCAAAACATCGTATGCCGACATTAAACGTGTATGTTCCAGGTTGTAAGTATACATAAGAAATTCGTGTAAATGGGACAACTACGTCTAGGTTTTGACCGTTGCTGAAAAAATAACTGCCATACAGGTGGAGACGGTGGCTCATTGTATCAACTGTGTTTGGTATCAATGTATTGCCAACAACTACGTGGTCGTTCACTATCACATGAACTACTGTACGGACTAGGCGGTTAGCATTGCAAATACTACCTTGAACTGTCGTCTTGAAAAGAGTAGGTTGTTCAACTGTAAATGTTTGATTTAAACCCGGAACATATTGGAATGTTGGACTCTTATCAAAGTCAATTACTTCAGTATTTTCGAATTTCGTGTGAATTTCGTACTTTTGTAAATCAAACGATGACGACGAGCTTGATTCAGAATGAGTAGGTCCTGTTGACAAGAAAAAGCACAGAAATGTAAAAAGAATGCTAGAGATTTTTACCATCGTGCGAAAGATTTGGGTAAATCTTGCTAATAGCTTTTGACAGGTTGCTATCTCAAAACAAAATTTAATTCTTAGATCTTTTAGCATACCATAGTGTGAAAATATCTGCATTGAAAATCAAATTTTCACCGCCTTTAGGGTGAGTGTGGGTGGGAATAGGCACAAGACTAATATCTACACCCACCATCAAGATGGCTAACTTTAGTCGAGTAATAATTCTTACCGGAGTTTCTTTGGCTTAATATAGCCCTTGCTATGAAATAATTAACAGTAATTGTAACAGCCAATATTAGTATTACAATAATAACAATTATAGTCACTCCAGTGATAGATAGTATTGGGTTTCGACGAGGAATCTATATATATAAAGAAGAATATTTGTTTGTTTGTTCGCTATGCATTCACTCCCTATAATAGCTCGCTTCATCAAACTTTCTACAGGAGTCCTCAAGGTCCAGAGTACGATCGACATGGGGTTGATGCGGACAAGTAGGAAGAGAGTTTTGGGTGAGATGCCACTCATGATCTCCATATTAGCTAGCGTCACCAAACTTTACATGGTACTCCTCGAAATCCAGAAAAAGATTGAGAGAAGATTGGTGCGACTAGATGATCGAGACGGGGGAGTTGGGTAAAATTTCACCCAGATGGTCCTGTGATAGCTAACGTCATCAAACTGTCCATGACACTTTCGTATGTACCGGTAAAGTCGAGAGGGATGGGAGACACAAGGTGGTTGATACTCAACCGAATTTTGTTTAATTTATTTAATCAATCTTTAGAGTGCCGATCTATTACCACATTTTGGCATTGGTCTGGCTGTGCTACACAGAGATGAGGGCGACTGAGGAGTGAGATAATCGCCCATACACAATATTCGTTGGGCTATCGTGCTTCATCGTAGACGTGTGTGTATTCGCGACAGCTGAAAGTTTAACCCGAAATATCAGCCTTTTTAAATCCAAAATGAAATAGAAATAGAGTTGGAGCGGGATTTGTAAGAGAAGGTTTTGTAGCGGGAACTATAAAAAATCAGGTGAATTTGGAGTGCTTCATCTCCTGGTTTGTCGTGTTTTAGATATGTATGGCGGGATATGTTGTGGTGGTCGATAAAAATTTCAGGTACAACTCTCTCTGCATTTTCTGATATGTGAAGTTTTCATGCAGTAAGGTCCTGAATCAACATCGGGTGCCTCCGCTAGTAACACATGTTTGCAAATAAAAGAATTGTTTATATAATGTTTTAAGTCTAGTATCTACCATTTACGTACAGGGCTCCTGAAAGGCTGAATCAAAGCACACTCTTTCATTATGCAATAGCAAAACTTATACATAAACTTACTACTGCTTGTGTTTCATAAGGTGGCGGCTGGAGCGGATCCATTTCAATTCGGTCGTCCTTTTTAATCACCATCGTAGCGCAAAATGTTCTCTTTGATTCACGATAGACACACAACTTTCAAATGAAAATTTGTTTCGATTGTGGATAGGTTGTGAATGTTGCATGTTGTTCGTTCTCTCTGTCATGAGAAAGGGGCGAGTTATTTATTCACCTTGGTTGGAATTAAACAAACAATCTGATCAAAGTATTCAACCGGCGGCAGTGCATCGCTTTCGTTTTATCATGAAAAGTAAACGAAGAGAAAAAGGGAATTGGGAATAAATTTGAATGACGAATTCTTTTTCGTTGTCATATAAGAATAATATAAGTATTCAATGGTTTATCTGTCTCATTGCATTCAATTTAACAGATGGCTTCTGCAGATCTCACATTAGGTGTTGTTTTGAAACCTGTTGGTTCTCTATTATCAACTATTTTCAAGGTAGCAAGAACAATTCGAATGACAGTCGAAAGAATGAAAATCAATGGAGCGAACTGTCGTCAATTGAGTCAAAGAGTTGATATGATCGTTAGTTTCTTACCAAAGAAGTTACCAGAGGATCTCCTGAGTGAACCTATTGAAAGAGCGTTAAGATCCTTCGCGGAGTTCCTCGATGAATGTCTAGCGCTAATTAAGGAGTTTGCCAATGCTAATTACTTGGAACGTATTTGGTATAACAAAGACTTTTGTCGTGAATTTACTAGAATGGATGAACAATTATCACGCTTTACAACTGACTTAAGCTTTGGTATGGGATTCACAAGATTGCCTGCCGTTCAAAGTTCAAGAGACGCTGTTGAACAGGTTTGTCATAAATGTCACTTAAGTTGTCTTTACTCGTATCATGAATGTTTTAATTTTTTCCGCATATTTGACCGTAGTTTAATGAAGAAGACCATCTTTGTAAAATCTTCATTTTATTTTTAGAATACACTGCGTCACTCACAATCCACTGCTTTTAATTCAGGTATCTGGACTTATAAACGTTGCATCAACGAAATATGGCAAGATACTTTTAATTGTGAACTCATCATTGACATGAATACAAAGAAAATTAGAGGTTCTGGCGAAGACAACTTTAGTCATTTTGGCATAGATGGTCTGTTTTCTCAAGCACCACTGTTAATCGAATTGGTTTGGACTTATAGGGTAAGCAGCTCGAAAAATTAGATTTGCTTTTTTTTGAATATATTTCTGTCATTCAATTAGGATCATTTACAAATTATTAATCTGCAATGGAACGTGGATCGACAAATGCTATGTGGTATAGTGTTGAGAAAATCTAAAGTTACTGACAAAGTGTGTCAATTTCTGGGAAAATTTGAAATGAATTTATTTGTTGCTCTCTCTCCCTGAGTAATTTTTCTATGTGATTTTATCATTGTGCTTGTAGCACTAAAACAATAAATAAAATTTTTTATCTTATGAAATCTTTTATATTAAACTTTGCTAGTATTCGTATTCAATATGCGAGAACGTTGATTAAAAACAGATATTCATATTCCCATCTTCACATTATTTTCATAGGGAATAAAATTCAATCTCAAATGGGATATTTTACGACGTTTTCTGCTTAAAAGTGTCGAATAGTTGAGGGTCCATTTTGTTGCATAAATATTTATTTTCTTTGACGGTGAGAATGAGGGTGAGTTTACAGGAACAATTCCAAACTACTTATGACGCGTTTCGATCCTTACTTAAAGGATCATTATAATGTAAGTTCTGAATTGAACAGAATCTACATCGAATAGTATCTCAAAGGTTCAAGAGAAAGTTATAAGAGTCAATCGAAATCGACTCTTAACAACAATCCAATGTCGAGATAAAATTTCAAATAGTATCGCAGAAATTCTCAGCGTTGTGGATGTATTTACATGGTTTAAACTACCACAATTCGGATTTCGGCATTATGAGAGACCCTGTCGGGGTGTGGGT